GGCGCAAGGCCCACCACACTTGGCCACCCGGCAGGGGAGTGGGGATGGTTATGGCAGCTGTGAGACAGAGTTGGGGGGGCCCTCCACACACCCCCAGCTCCACTCGTATAGCTGCCCCATGATCAGGTAGAATTTTCTTCAGTGCTGCACAGACCTGGGAGTGCAGCTGCAGGTCGAGAGGGAAAACCTAGAGCCATGCCCAGGCAGGCCTGGGTGACAACACACTGGTGGCCTGACTTGTGCATTCGTCCCACTCACCCACCCTCATGGCGAAAGGCCCTTTGGGGGTGCAGACCAGTAGACCTGCCAGCAATATGCAGGACCCCTAAGTGGCACTGGCCTCATCAAAAGGGGACCCCCATGGCCTGTGAGCACTGGAGGGTTTGGTGCTTAGACAGGTGCAGGCCCTCGGCCTCTTCCTGAACCTCAGGAGCACCAAGGTACAGACCATGTGCGTCTTCCTGACCCACATGCCGGCAGGAGCCAATGTCATGGGAGGACTGGAGCAGGAGGGGAAGGAGAGGGAGTCACCTGTGGGCTGCAGAGCCATTAGAATAAACTGCTTAACCAGAGTCACTTCCCTGAGACTTTATGACTCACAGCTTACGCCAATTAGAACCTGTGATTCCCTGGAATCATTCACTGTGCACACACGAGTTTGCACTTTGCACACATGAGTCTAAGAGCTTAAATTATTTTTGGAAGTCATTTTCAAACACTCAAAGATTATCCAAGAACTACCTAGTTTCTTGTGAGCTCTGTTTAACTGGGTGAAATAGTTTCTTTTTTATCTTCCTATCCCCATGTTCACCTCAGACAGCTGTTTCCAGGGTTGGAAGATTATCCAAGAACTACCTAGTTTCTTGTGAGCTCTGTTTAACTGGGTGAAATAGTTTCTTTTTTATCTTCCTATCCCCATGTTCACCTCAGACAGCTGTTTCCAGGGATGGAAGACAAGTAGGCACATCCCCTGAGGCCTCAGGAGCGGAGTCAGCCTGTTGTAGTAGAGAGGGTCCCACACCTACCCTGGGATGGGTGCTGGCAGGCTGGGCCCCCACCGTCTCCTGCCAGGCCTAGGTTCTACAGCATGGACTACTTAAGTTTTCTCACCAGAGGCCAGGCCTGTTGCCATGGGAGGGTTGTGTGTAGGGTCTGACCCCACCCCACACCCCCCCCCAAGGTCCAAAGCAAAGCTGCAGACACAGGGGAGGTGTTCTCACACGGGCCTCATCACGCCAGCACATGGGGCCAGATCTGCCCCAGCTGCACATTTCATTGCTGGGGCACCATGTGCAAGAGAGCCTGGTTTCAGGACCAGGCGGGGAGCTGACAGCACCAGGTGGCTCTGGGTCACCAGCATGTTCTGCATACTCAGAACGGACCAGGTGAGAGGCCGGCCTCACCTCTGGCCCCTGCCTAGCAAGGCCACAGGTTCAAGTGGCACTGGGACCGAACCAGGCCGCAGGTCCTATCGGGTTGGGGCGTTTCCCGCCCCTGCCCCCCGAGTCCTCCTTGGGGACCCTGTTCAAAGTGGGTCAGAGCGCCCCACACACCACTGACTCGTCCTGAGCACCAAAACCAGCACAAAGGGACCCTGCCTTGCTGCATCTGCCCCCACACCCGTCACATCCCTGGGAGCCCAGCCGGCTCCCCGCTCGTCAGGAGCCCTACGGACGTGGGACCTGGAACGACCGTTTCTAGGCCAGCGAGGAGCCCTGTTGGTTCTCACCAGCAGCCTAGTTAGGGGAGCTAATTTCAGAAAGGCGGTTGGTCTCCCTGGGTCTGCTCTGGGTGACTGCAAGGTGGCATCAGCTGGAGCACCAGCTGTCACTGCTTCTGGAGCATCCTCCCCCCACCGCAAACCACTAGGCCTCTGTTCATTCCAGACCCACCCAGTCCCTCTGCGGTATCTGGGGTTGACAAGTCCAAACTCCCAGGAAGGTTAAATAGGAGTCACTAGTCCCCCAGTTTTCACCAAAGACAGCGGCTTCACAGGCTCACATGAGCAGGCACACATCAGCTTGACTGCCATGTGGAGTCACAGCCTCTGTCCCACGGGGCCACCAGGGTCAGCACAGGGATCGATTCTGAACCCTGAGCGTCCATAGGGCAGCAGGTGTGACCAGTGCTCACAGCCAGGAAACAGCACGCAGAGCGGGAATGCAGGACCCCACGCCCCACACAGCTCCTGCCATCCTGGTGAGGTGATGACACCCAGGCATTTTTTTTTTTGACACCCAGGCATTTTCAAGTGCCATCATGAAGGCCTGTGTGCAGTGGTCACAGTGGAGCACTCTGAACCATGGAGGAGAGATCACACGCCACAGGCCCCAGAACAGAGCACAGGGGCCATGCCCCACCACGTCGCACCAAGGCTCCTCCCAGGGCCAGAACACAGTCCTGGGTTCCCCATCCTACCTGCACCCTCTGTGGGGAAGGCATGGCTGGGGGCAGGGACTGGCTGGCCTGGTTTCAATCTAAATCTTGAGCCAGTTCTGGGGGCTGAGTCAACACCATGCCTGAGCACCCACCCCTTGTGAGCAGGGCCCCAGCCACAGGAGAGCCCCAGGCACCCGGAGTAACAGGGTGCCTGCCCAGTCATAGAGCACCAGAGGAACCAGGCGGGGGTGGGGGAAGTGAGGTCAAAACTGCTGGCCATCTGCCCTGAGGAGGATGCTGGCACCCTCGGCTCTAAGCGCCCCCCACCCCCCCATAAATCCATAAGAAATAATCCCTAGTTTTCCTAACATGCCCCAGTTCCAGAAGCGCCTCCTGTTCCATCATCACGTTGGTGTGGGAGAGGGCCGGGCAGGCGCCGCTGACCTTGTTTTCTGCCATCACAGCAGGGAGGGCCCGGGGTGGGCGGGGAGCACCCCGGGCCTGTCCCGCTCCAGAGTGGGAGCACCTGTCAAAGGCCTGGCCCAGGTGTCTTGGGGAGCCACGGGGCCTGACCTCCTAGGGGAGTGGTTGGTGACCTGGAGCCTGACACCCACCACAGCTGCCCATCTGCCCACCGCTTGCCTGGGGATGCAGGACAGGAAGCAACTCCACACAGGCCCAGGTGCCCTGGTCAGAGTAGGCTCACGCCCATGGTGGGGCAGCCCCGGGCCTGTCAGCGGACACTGCGGAGGCCCAGGGGTGGGGGTGGGGGGCTGGCATCTTGGCCTGGTGACTCCAGCCCATGAGGAGCACCGGGGGGCGGGGGGGGTGCGATCTACCAGCTGATGGTCTCCGGTTCTGCACCACGTGGCAGCCTGCAAGCCCACCCAGCGCAGTGGGAGGACACCTTGTCCAGGGCCAGAGCTGAGCCTACACTGCTCCTGCTGCACCTCCCACCCCTGAAAGGCTGGCAGAGTGTGCCTGATGAAGCCAGCTCCCCAGGGTCAGCCCAGGCCTGAGGAGGGCGGGCAGAGGGTGGGGGCGGTGCCCGGGCCTGGCCCAGGTGGTGGGATGGGCGGGGCACCTGCCCAGGCTCTGCCCGCCTGTGCCCGACTCGCTCGCCCATCACTTCGTCCTCTCCATCCCCTGGCCGTCCTCATCTCTGTCCTCGCGGTCACCGTCCAAGGTAGGTCTGGGGAGCTCGCCCCTGTGCTGAGCAGAGACTCTGGGGCCCGCCCAGGTCCCACTGGGCTAACCTGGACACCCCCCCCCCCAACCCCCGAGGCGCCCTTGCCTGTCCGTCTTTGGGCTTCCTCCTGTCCCAAGGGGCCGGCCAAACCGGTGGAGAGGCCCCCTCCATCCGCCGGTTGGCTGCGAGGGGAACCGCGTCTGTGCGCCGAGTGCGCTGCCCGTCCGCACTGCTTGCAGAGCGAGCCGAGCGCTGTGCGCCTTAGGCCGGGGGCGCGCGGCGGGCGCGGCGGCGGCGGCGGGCTCGGGGGCTGCAGATGGGCCTGCCGGCCCCCCGCCCCCAGTCTGGGGGGGCCCGCGCCCACGTGACTCAGAACCTGCACCGCCAGGTGGGGTGTTGGAACACGGGTTCTCTGGGAGGAAGCCCCTCTCGCCCCCACTGGCTACCCCCCAGGTCTCACCGCCTCCTGGTAGACCCTCCCAGGAGCCCTTTCCACAGCCAGAGGTAGGCAGTGTCACACACCTGGCAGCCCCTGCCCACACTTCCCAGGTCAAGGAAGCCAGTCCCCTGGCTCCCAGTTTCAGTGATGGGGGCGGAGGATGGGGGACAGCAAGGGGCTCCCTGGACCCCCGAGTGGGCTGGAGCAGGGGGATGCAAGGAGCTGCCTTCCCTCCCTTCACTTGCTGGCGGGGTCTCGAGTCTGAACCTGTGGCTTTGCCGGGTGGCCCACACACTGGCAGACACTGGCCAGACACTCAGGCAAGTTGGAGGAGGCACAAGGCAGCAAGCAGGAGGCCGCAGGGGCCCCAAGTCCTGGACCAGCTGGGTAGCCCCTGACTCCAAGACCCCCAGCGCTTGCCCCACCCCAACCCCCAGGCAGAGATGCAAATAGCAGCCCCACCCTCCTGGCCCCAGGATTAACCTGCTCTGGGGTGGGCTTTGCCCATGCAAAGCAGGGGGAGGGGTGTGTGTGGATGTGTGTGTCCCGCCCCCGACACAAGGGTCTTCTGCTACCTGGATGGGAAATGGGTCCTGCACTTTAAGGGCCAGTAACCTGACCAGTCCTGCTGTTGGCAGGACACTGCCCCTCCCCTCTCCAACCCAGAGGCCCAGCCTTGGTGAGGCTTCGATGGCAGGTAGGGGTGCAGAGCTAGGCATGGAAAGTTTTCTCTGCAGTTAACGAGCCCCATGGGAGGTGGGGGGCAGGTACGTGGGGCCTGATTAGTGTGGCCTCAGCCCCAGCCCTGTTCCCCGGTGCGTGGCAGAGGCCGTGGGGACTCCCCAGGCAGTGAGCGGGTGTCCCTTTGTGTGGAGGGTGCTTACCAGGGGGAGGGTGCATCAGGAGGGTGACTGCAGGCTGGCAACCCCCAGCTCTGTGACTTGCCCCATACTCCCCAGCCCCAGGCTGGCCACTTCCGAAGCCCCCGATGCCATGGAGGAGTGGGACGTGCCCCAGATGAAGAAGGAGGTCGAGAGCCTCAAGTACCAGCTGGCCTTCAAGAGGGAGATGTCATCCAAGACCATCCCCGAGTGAGTCCCCAGGATACCCTGCGGAGCCGTGGCCACAGCCCCCAGACTGGCAAGATTTGCGTCTCATTTCCCTGCCCCGTGCTCATTTGTATGAGCCAAGACCACACCCCCATGCACTGCCATCAGGCAGCACTCTGGGGGCCAGGAGCCCACGTGTTCACCCACCCTCCCCACCCACAGGCTCCTCAAGTGGATCGAGGAAGGGATCCCCAAGGACCCCTTCCTGAACCCAGACCTGATGAAGAACAACCCATGGGTGGAGAAGGGCAAGTGCACCATCCTGTGAGGCCCCGCGGCCCAGACTCACGCCTCCCTGTAAAGTGGACGCCTCTGTAAAGGTGTGACTTTTATAAAGACTCTGCGAGAATGCTGCTGCTTTTGTACACTTTCTAGGAGAGAGAAAGCCAACACCTAGGTAGCCGGTGTGTATCAGGGGATGTCTGGTGCAGTCCAGGGTGTCTGGCGTGACCTCAGAGTGTCCAACATGGACTAGGGTGTCTGGCATAGGCCCTGGGGACGTCCAGCGTGGGTCGGGGTGTCCAGCACAGCCCAAGGTGGCCGCCCAGGCCCCGGGGGCTCGCTATGCCCCCTAGAGCAGGTCCCTGATGTACAGGCTGCGCCGCACGGCATTGGAGACGCCCTCCTTGAAGCGGAACCACACGTCGCTCCTGCCCACCGCGGTGCCCGCGCGCCGCTCGGCCGTGTCAGTCTCAGAGGCCTCGTGCCCTGCGGGGGCCACACAGTCATTCCTCCATCTGACTCCTGCCAGTCCCTCCACCGCCCACCCCTCCACACACACCTGCACTTGGGGCTGCTGCTCTCTTGACAACCACACGACCGAAGAAGTCCCTCTCAGGCTGAAGGAGACAGGCTGGTCAGGTTCATGGGGACTGAGCCCTAGCCAACTAGCCCTACCTGGGGGGAGGGCCCGGAGGCCACGGCCCCCTCCCGCTGAGCCTCTCTGTGTGCGCCCTCCACCACGCTCACACTCACCTCCCTGCCAAGGTCAGGAGGTACCAGCACCCTGCCCAGGTGGGAACCAGGCCCAGGCGGAGCCATCATGCTGAGGAGCCATCATGCTGAGCAGCAGGGAGCTGGACTCCAGGACTTAAAACAAGGCCACTCCAAAGTTGCCTTCCCAGGCCCCCCAGTGACGCCCCCACGGCCTCCCACCGACACGTCAGCCCCTACCTGTTCCTCCAGGGCAGCTCTCTTCAGGATACACTCCAGCCGCTGCTTGTGGTCGCACGGGGCAGGTGGCTGCACCTCCTTCTCCCCCGTGCCCCCCAGGGGACTCCCATCCACCTGCAAGAAGTCACGGACAGCGACAGTTGACTGGGCAGGACCACGGCAGGGTTCGTGTCCATTCCGAGGGCCCTGCTCTTCCCTGGGCCTGAGGAGGCTCACCTGGGGGCTGTCTCTGGCCCGAGCCGAGGCCTCCACCCGCCGCATCTTCTCCACTTCCACCTCGCGGGCAATGAGCTGCTTGGCCTGGTAGGTGAGGGGCTTACGGGCGGGCAGCTCGGGAAAGCGGCAAACCTCCTCCACGTTCCTGCTCTTGGGGTGAGCGGGGCAGGGCAGGCCCCGGGACACCCAGTCAGCAGGGACAGGCCACAAGCTACTTAGCACCTCTGACCCCACCTGCCAGACGCAAAAGTGCAGGACGGGGTCCAGGCCTGGCCCTGCCGTGCCCCAGCTCTGCAGCAGCAGGGGCATTCCCACCCTGAGCCTCAGTTTCCCCACCACACGTGGGCAGGGGGAGGGCTGCCCAGGGAGGAACTGACACCACATTGCAGGGCCCGGGCTCAGGCTGAGCTGAGTGCATGAGAACGAGCGTCGTTACTGCCCAAGGCCTGCATCCAGCCCCCACTGGTGCGGGCGCTCCACCCCACAACCCTCTCAGGACAGAGTGGAGCCCTGGGGAGCTCGAGGGCCCTCTGGGGCAGCTCCTGGGGGCACTGAGGGACTCCGCGGTACACCTCCGGCCCCAGGGTCAGCCCCAGTGGGGGCTCCACGGCACAGTCACATTCGGGCAAGGAATGAGCTAGAACTGACTCCCCTAGCCTCCAACAGGAGAACTGAGGCTCACACCATGCCTTCAGACTCTGGCTGAGCAGTCGCTGTGGCACCTGAAGCCCAGCGCCCCGGCCTCCTGCCCCCAGCACCCCCAGCCCAGGCGCTGCGCAGACTCACGGCTCCAGCCTGTAGACGTACTGCCCATCAGGGGTGCGGTCCTGGCGGTAGGTGAGGCTGTAGGCGAGCATGGTGCCCACCAGGCTGGCCAGCTGCTGCTTCTCTCGGGCACTGTACAGCTGTGTGCTCACCTGTGGGCCAGCAGGGCACTGAGCACAGGCAGGGCCCACCCACCCCAGGAAGCACGCCTCTTCCAGGCCAGGCACTCACTGGGCGCAGCTTGGGCGTGAGGATGTCCAGGAGCAGACAGAGGGTGTCTAGGATGAGCGCCTGCGGCGCAGCCCGGCTGCGGGTGGCTGGCGTGATGCCCGACACCAGCGTCTGGATCAGGTTCTGTGTCTGGTTCATGCGATTCTGGGCCTGGGGTGGAGGGTGGACCAGGACCAAGTCACCAAGGACCCCGGGCTAGACCCTGGCCCCAGGCAGGGCACAAGCCGTACCTCCTGCTGGCTGCTGGGGAAGGCGATCCGTGGCACGTGACTGGAAGCAAAGAGCAGGTGGAAGGCCGGGAGCAGGAAGGGCAGGTAGCGCATCAGCTGGAAGCTCTGGCCGTGGAGGGCAGCCCGGCCCAGCAGGTCGTCGAAGGCCAGCCAGTCGAGGGCAGTGCACACGGCACCCAGGCTGGAGTCCCGCAGCCTCAGCCGCAGGAAGTTGTCGAACAGGCCCTGCAGGCAGGTGGACGGGCCAGTCCCTGAGGCCCTCCAGCCACACAGCACCCACCCACAGCACAAGCGCCACCCTGGGGGACATTCTCCTCCCACCAGCCTGTGAGCCCCAGAGAGTGGCCCCAGGGCCATGAGGGGGCCAGAAAGGCCTAGCCTGCTGCCTCCACTCATCTGACCCAGACCCGAGACATGTGAGAAAGAAGCCCCCAGTCACCCCCCTAAAAGAGAGGGAAGCTCTGTCCACCAGGGTCAAGGGCACAGAGCCCCCGTGCACGTTGCACGTGGGAGTCCCTCCCCTCCAGCCACCATGCTGCCCTCCACACAGTGGTTTTCCAGATTTGCAAGGATCCCCAGCTGCTAATCCAAAGCTGCTTAGCCAAGGAGGCAGCTTACACCAGGCTTCCCGGGGGGTGGAGGTAGGGCGACCTGCCACCTGCCCTCCACCCCACCTGCACCCATGTCCCCGTTCCCACAGCTCACATCCGGAATCCAGCCCCCCCGCCACTGCTGGGCCCTTTAGATACTTCCCCAAGGGCAGACACAGAGATCCCACCAGATAACCCCGCCAGCCGTCCCCTCCTGGCACAGTCAGTCCTTCCTCCTGCCTGATCCCACTCCCTCTCAGAGGCCTCCCAAGCGCCGGGTCCACCCGTTTCTCCTTGGGCTCAGCACCACTGAAGCATGCGAGTCCCAGTCAGTTGCTGGCTGGGGTTGAAAAACGCTGCCAGAACCAGGCTTCCTGCCCCCCAACCCCCACAAGACTGGAGGTGGAGCACGGTTACCTGGACCACCTTGTCGTGCTCGCCTGCAGATGCGGCTATGTGCAAGATGTGGTAGAAACGCTGCGCGGCTGCAGTCAGAGGCGCCTCGGCAGCAAGGGGTCCCGAGCCCGAGAGCCGGTCCCCAAGCAGGAGCATGTGGGTGGGCAGGGTTGGGTCCTGACCTATGCGGCGCCTGCAGGGGCAGCTGAGGCTGGAGTGGAGCCCCCGCCCCGTCACCCAGACCCAGCCCTACCACCCTCATCCTCCCGGCAGCACCGGCTTGTGCATGTTTAGGGCACCCTGAGGTCCTGCAGGAGGGCAGGGCGCCATGGCTCCATCAGCAAAGGCAGAGCTGGTTGACTTCCCAGGGTGAGGGTACCATGGACCTTCCAGGCCAAGGGTGGCTTGCCTACCTCTGGGCCCGGGGCAGCTGGAAGACCTCCTGCCACACGGAAAAGAGCCCCTTGCGCTGATCCTTCAGGCCAATGCGTGTGCTCTGAATGGCCTGAACACTCAGCTCCCGCTGGCCCCGCCTGTGCAGGAACTAGACATGGGGTCAGGGAGGGTGAGGATGGCTGACCCCCACTCCAGCAGGAAATGGACACAGGGGAGGCGTGGAGAGGGCACTGGTCGCCCCTGTCCTCTGCCCCCGCACCATAGCCACCTGCCCACCTGCAGGGCGTTGATGCAGGCGCGGATGTCATTGTCTGTTTTCTCGCAGAGGGCTGCCAGCGCCCCAGGGTCAGCCCGCATGCCCCGCCGCAGGGAGATCTGCAGAGAGGTGGGAGGATGGGTGTCCCCTGAGCCCTGCCCTATAGCCAACGCCTCCCTAGAAACAGCTCCTGTCTGACGGGGAGCAAAGGCCGAAGACCCCTGCGGAAGGAGCTCGGTTGTGCCTTGGAACCACCCACAACCAGAGAACAAACTGGACCAGGACCTCCACCCAACGTCCTAGGAGCAGTTGGCGAGCAATGGGCAGATGGCGGAGGGAGGCCAACCCTCACAGACCTCCTGGAGCCGCTGCGTGAGCCTGGAGGGCAGCGTGGGTGGGAAGTGGAGCAGGAGGGCCTGCTGCTTCAGCTGCCGCAGAGAGGGCACAAACCTGCGGAACCAGGGCGTGCACAGTGAGCCCCCCCTGACCAGGGCGCTGCCTGAGTCCAGCAGCGAGGGAAGCGAGGGACAAGGGTCCCAGTGGAGACCCCGCCCCCCGACAGAAGTCCCGCCCTCCCACTCACGGGTCGTTGCAGATGCAGATAATGGGCCTCATCAGGAGACCCCCATCTGCCCGGCGCCGCCGCCCCCCACCTGTGGGCACAGAGGGGCCCCCTGGCTCTGCCTGTTGTGGGCCCTTGCGGTCCAAGACACTCAGGAGAACATTGATGGCGGCCTGGGGGGACATGCAGATGGTAGTGAGTCACAGCCCTCCACTGCAGGAGGACCAGCCCAGCTGCCATTCTACCCACCGTGGGGGCCCCATCGATCTCGTCGATGACCAGGCAGTTGGGTCTCCCACCAGCGCCCAGGACGGACTCCATCTGCGTGGCCGCCTCGATGCGCGAGCGGAAGGCTTCAGGGCTGCGGTCATCACTGGAACCAGGAGGCCCAGGAGCAAATGTCAGGGTAGTCAGTGTCCCCAGCTGGACGGTCCCCCAGGGCAGAGCCACCACGCCTACCACTCAAAGATACTACACAAAGCCACCCCCTGACACCACGCCAAGTCCCAGGAGCCCTGAGATGTGTGGACCATGCCACCGCCATGCACCTGAGACACTAGTCCCCACCTCCAAACCAGGCATTTAGGGCTATGTCCCAGTAGCCGGACGCGTTAGGACAGAGGGAGGCCTGGCCTTCCCCCACTCACCTCGCATTCATCTCCACCACACAGTACCCAGCATGCCGCGCAATCACGTGGGCCAGGGTGGTCTTGCCCAGCCCTGGGGACCCACACAGCAGTGCCACCTGCAGCCAAGGCAGGAGAAAATGCGCTGCAACCCGCACCGCCTCACAGACTTTGGGAGTCCCTGGCCCAACTGCCAGACAAAATCCCATCCCACAAAGTGCGGTGCCAGAGGATGTTGCCCTGCCCTGCCCCTATCACCAAAGAACAAGTCCCTGCCTGCTCGTGGCACAAATAGAGAATAAAGCCTCATGTCAGGTGACATGAATGACATTGAGACCTGAGACAGACATAGCTATTACTGACATGACTGACGCCTGAAACCCACCTACATTCCACTATAATCACTATGGGAAGGTGTAGGGCCCTTCAAGTCGTGCTGCCTTTGTCTAAGTAATTAGAAGACTCAAGTCCCAGCTCAAATTGCTGACACTCCACACCAAGACACTGACATCATCACAGCTTCGGGGACAGTAAATGTGCCTCATGGCCCCCAGAGGCTGCCAAGGCACCAGCCACCCAGAATACAGCCATTGGACAATGTGCAGCACAGTCAGGTGCACTCACCTTCTGCCGGGGCCGCCCACTTGGGTCCAGCTCAGCCTCCAGCATCTCCTCGAGCACTTGTTCATGGCTTTTCCACTTGCTGGAAGCTGTGGTCTCCTTGCCACCACGGGCTGGTTCCACACTGGGCCTAGGCTTCCGGGCAGGCTTCTCTCGGCCAAACACCACTAGGTCCCACAGCTTTAGCCACTTGAGAAGGCAGCGGTTAGTGAACTGAAAGAAGAGAGGCCTGGCCTGGGGGGGGTCTCCTCATGCCTGCTCCTCATGTCACCCTACTTTTAAAAGCCCAGAGACACATGCAGGTACGCTGAGGCTTAGTGACCAGTGAAAGGCCCAAACTGGCCTCAGTTTCTCCATCTACCAACACAATCCAACAAAGCTAATCAAATCCTTCCCATAAATCCTGACACCCCTGTGGGTTGGCAACACAAGGACCTGCTAGGCCCTGAGTTCTTTTCTCTCAGCAACAAAGAAGCCAGTCACACTTGAGCAAGAACAAGGCCTCACGTCATCACTGAGCAGCTCCGTGTAGCGCTGGGGTGCAAACTCATCCACCCAGAGGCAATGCTGGGAGGCGTCCTGGCTGTCGGCTGGCTCCTCCTCAGGCGCCCCTAAGGGCTGAGTCTCCTCCTCCATCTCCTGTGACCTGAGACTGGAGAGCATCATGCCCTGAGCCGCTGGGCCTTAACCCCATGCAGGGACTACCCCCCTGGAATGCATTCTAGGGGTCAGCAGTCCAAGGACTAGAGAGGATCCCGGGGTGGAGAGTCCTCCGTGTCACCTGCACAGCGTGTCCGAGAGCTGCTGGGCCTCTTCCAGCAGTCGCTGCCGCCGCTGTGCAAATTAGATCAAAACAGCTCAGCCACCAGTCACCCTGGAGCCACCCCTCCCCTCCCAGAAAACCCCAGCAGCCCCCACCTCGCTGTCGACCTTCTCCTTCAGGGAGGCAAAAGGCACGCCCAGCAGGTCCAGCTGGCCACGGCCACGCCACCGGGTATCATGGAAAGGGCTCTGTAGGGGAAAACGGGCAGCAGTCACTCCCTTCTAGTTATGGGGTTGCCACAGCTCCCTCCCAGCGGTGCTCAGGGATCCATGTGGCATTCCCTAGCACCCACAGCCACAAGGAGCCCCTTCTCGCCACAGACCCCAAGGGGTCACTGGGATGGCAGCAGATCTAAGGAGGAGGGTGAAGGAAAAGGTAGAAAAAAGAGGAAAGAAAGGGGAGAAAAGATGGAGGAGGAGGAGAAAGAAGGTGGCCCTCCCGAATGCAAGACCAGAGGCAGGGTGGACCTCTAGAAGGGTGCCCAGAGTCGGAGTTGGCATATGATGTCCACGTACCGGCTTGTGGCTGCACGGCACCCACCTGCACCCCAGTGCCCACTGGGTCAGCCCGAAGCACCAGAAAGGCCCGGTCGCCACCCGTGGAGGTCACATTGACATAGTCTTCCAAGACTGGGGGCCGCCGCAAGACAGGATTGTGGGTGGCCAGCGAGGCCTGAGTGAGACCCGCATCAGCCCCGGCGTCTAAGGGCCTGGGAGGGAACCACAATTGTGGGGTCCTCAGGGAAAAGCCATGGACCCAGACCTGCCCCAGGCCCCAAGACCTTGTTGGAGGAATGGGATCCTTCCAAGGCCCCCAGAGATGCCTCTGCCCCAAGTTACACACCCCTCGCCCCACAGCTCATCAGGTATCTCAGGACTTGGTGGGGGAGTGATGTCCAGAGTCGGGGAGTCAGGAGGCGTCATCTCTTCCATCTCTTCCGACCTAAAGTTCAGTCTCCTGACAGCCTGCAGCCTGGACCGTTTGATTTGGGGAGCTGGGGAGACACATGGAAGGAATAGAGGGCCTTCCCCAGCCTTGCACCCCACCCCTATGCTCTGGGCCCCAAAAACGTACTAGGGGGCAGGTATCTGTCCCCCTGGATGTCAGAAGCCAGCTGCCTCTTTCTGACACTGCCCTTGCTGCTCCTTGGAGGTCCTCCTGGAGAGCAGTTAATGGCAGTCTCCCCTCCAGCAATGGCCTCCTCGAACGTCAGGCGGGGCCGGCTCACAGTGGGCCGAGAGTCCCTGGAAGGCGATAGGGCGGCTGTCCCTGCGGAAGGAAGGCCCACAGCAGTCATCCAGGACAGCTCGTCTGCACACACAGCCACAGCCCCCGCGGCCGGCGCCGCTGCAGGGCCCTGCTCTCTCCAAGGGGGTTGCGGCCTCGCCCCTGCGCGGCCCTCGGAGCAGCCCTCCTGGACTCCCCGGGAGGGCCAGGCTTCCGTCAAGCTACCTGGGACGAGGCCGCGGCGATGCCCGCGCCTACCTTCCAGCTCGGCAAGCACCTCGAGCTCGGCCGCGAACTGGTTGTCGAAATCGTCCTCGACGCCGTACAGCTCTCGCTCGTAGTCCTCCATGGCTGCGGGCCCCACAGCCGCCCGCCGCGGGGACCGGCTCCAAACTTCCCGCGCCCCGAGCGCCGCTCCCGCCCCCAGCGACCCGGCACCACCAATCAACAGCCGGCCTGCCCGGCGGCGCTCTCCATTGGCCAGGAGGAAGGGCGGGGAGTGGGCGGGGCTGCGCGCGCACGCTGGGCGGGGCCGAGTCCTGACGCCAGAGGGGGAGCCGCGGGACCCGGGCGGTCTCCATTGGTCAGAAGGACCGCCCGTCCGTGCCGTGGGCGGGACGTGGGCGGGGCTGAGAGCGCAGGCCGGGCCCAGCCAGGCGCGCCTCTGTGGTCTGAGTTATTGCTCCGGGACCACTGGGCCACGAGGAGCGGGACGCGAGTGCAGGAACCAGGGGCAGGCCGCGGCATCGGGAGCCCGGACGGCGCAGCCCAGCTGCAGGTCGATCCCGGAGTGGGCAGGGGCACGGGAAGGATTTGCATCGGGAATCCGCCGGGCACCCCTCCGCCGGTGTCCATGAGACGCGGGAGGCGAGAGTTCCGCGGAGGGGAGCCAGAGCAGGGGGCGTCTCCGTGGGCGAGAGAGGGCCCCGTCTCCTGCTCTGTACCCGCCCCAATCAGGAAAAGGCCACTATCACGTGTCTGTGGCCCGCCTCGGGAAGAATCCGTGGGAGCGGGCTGGAGGGCAGGACTGCTTATCCCCCCAGGCCCGGGTCTGGGCAGGACCGCCCCACAGCCAGAGTTCAGGGTACCACTAGCTTGCCTGCTCCTAGCCAGAGCCCCCAACCAGTGGACGCCCTGCTCATCCCACTCAGAGGTTGGGAGTGTAGGCACACAGTCGGTCTACAAGCTTACCTGACAGCGTCAGTGGCTTCAGACTGACGGCCCTGGGGAGCAGGGGTGTTCAGGCCAGGTGGGCAGGGCTGTGATGCGGGCTGGGCAGCCCGTAACCCCTCTCCACGCACTTGCCCCGCATTGCAGCCACCATGGAGCCAGGCAGTGTGGAGAACCTGTGTGTCATATACCGGAGCCGTGACTTCCTGGTGGTGAACAAGCACTGGGACGTGCGCATCGACAGCAAAGCCTGGCGGGAGACGCTGACCCTCCAGAAGCAGCTGCGGCACCGCTTCCCGGAGCTGGCCGACCCCGACACCTACTACGGGTTCAGGTACCCACAGTGGCCTCCACCGGGGGAGGTGGGGGAAGCAGCCCCCAACCCAGCCGCTACTGAGCCTCTGCCCCATGCTAGGTTCTGCCACCAACTGGACTTCTCCACCAGCGGGGCACTCTGTGTGGCTCTGAACAAGGCGGCCGCAGGCAGTGCATACAGGTGCTTCAAGGACCGGCGAGTGACCAAGGCTTATCTGGCTCTGGTAAGGCCGGGCTGGTCCTTGGGGCAGGAGACTCCAACCCTCCGTCCACTTTGGTAGGCTGTGGATGTCAGGTGGGCTTCCCAGCAGTGGCAGGTGACCCCATGAGCAGTGTGTGACCCCCTGCCTGTCAGGTGCGGGGGCACGTCCAGGAGAGCCGGATGACCATCAGCTACTCCATCGGCAAGAACAGCACAGAAGGCCGGACCCACACCATGTGCATTGGAGGCACACAGGGTACGGAGGACAGGGGGTGGGGGAGCCAGGGACACAGCCTTCCAATGGGGACCCTGGATGAGCTGGGGCAACCGGGGCACGTGACTGGGCTGCGGTGGACTCAGCCCTGGAGCTGGCCCAGCCATCTCTCTGAGCTCGCCTCACTCCCCTCAGGTTGTGAGAACCCAAAACCAAGCCTCACAGAGCTGGTGGTCCTGGAACACGGGCTCTATGCAGGCGACCCGGTCTCCAAAGTGCTGCTGCAGCCGCTCACAGGTGTGTCCGGGTGTGCGAAGGGCCCCTGCTCCCTGCTGACCATGTCCTGCCTCGGCCTCTCCCGGCACAGGGCGCCACAGTGTCCCCACCCCGCAGGGGAGCAACCTGCCCCGGAGCCCCCAGCATGCTGACCAGGCTCACTCCTGCCCCCCACGCAACCTCAGAGCCTACAGCTTCTTGCCCCACACGAGGTCTCTCTGGTCTGGGTTCTCAGCTGACTGGGTGCTGCTTTGGCCCTGCCCTCACCAGCAGCGTCCCAGAAGTCGCTTATGTTTTGAGCTCTGACTTTGTGGCATGAAGCACGGGGAGGTCTGATGTCCTCAGGGGCTGCATGAAGCTTCAAGGACAGTACTGAGCATGATATGAATGGGTTTGGGGTGGGCATGGGGTTGTACTCCCACCTGACTGGCCCCCTCTCCTCCCCAAAGGCCGGACGCACCAGCTGCGTGTGCACTGCAGCGCCCTCGGCCACCCCATCGTGGGGGACCTGACCTATGGCCAGGCCTCGGGCCAGGAGGACCAGCCGTTCCGTATGATGCTGCACGCTTTCTACCTGCGCATCCCCACAAGCGCTGAGTGCGTGGAGGCCTGCACACCCGACCCCTTCGTGCCCTCCCTCGATGCCTGCTGGAGCCCTCATACCCTGCTGCAGCCGCTGGACGAGCTCGTCCAGGTCCTGCGGGCTGCCCCGGACCCTGACCCCTCAGAAGGAGGCCCCGGGCCCTGCAGCCCCTGCACGCCCCTGCCTGGGCCAGGCCGGCCCCCACCACCCCCCGAGACAGAGGTGCAGCGGTCCTCCTGCCTGCAGTGGCTGTCGGAGTGGACGCTGGAGCCAGACAACTGAGAGCATCATGCTAGGATGGGAACAGCAGGCTGGGACCCTGCAGGACTGGGCTGCTGGTCAGAGCCCTAGACAGTCCCTGCAGTGGCCAGGCCTGGAGCCGGGCAGCTGCGACCGCAGAGGACAGGGCTGTTGGGCTGCAGGACCCATGCGGGCCTTTGTCCCAACACCACTCTCCAAACAGCCTCAACAGCGCCTCCCTGGTTCTAGAGCCTCAGCTCCAGGGACTGACTTGTAGACGTGATTGGGGTCACCGTGCAAGAGGCAAAGCCAGGACCTGGGCCAGCCTCAGGTGGGCTCCTTCTGGCCCCCCAGCCCACCCCCCAGAGCACCCTGCTGCATACTGCTCTACTTGGACCTCTGTGCCCACCACCCCCAGCCTGGCTGGGTCCTCCGTCTGCAGACCTCGACACTCCGCCCCCTGCCCCCTGTGCCAGGCTGGTCCTACCTTGTGCCTTCGCTTCTGCCAGATTCTGGGCCCCCCGCCCAACTCACATACTGAGCGTCTCATGTCGAAGTGGGTGTGGGCCACACATGTGCCATCAGCCCCCCTAACCCCCACCACATGCCATTCCTGCAGGCTCGCCCTGTGCACTGCCCCGTGGGGTCTTCCAGGCCCCTAGTTGCAGCCGCTGACTCCACCACCTGCCTGACAGTCCCCAGGCAGGACCTCCGCCGGGAGCAAGGGGAGCCAGGCAGTCCGTCCATCCCAACAATGCTGCCCAGCTGCAGCCCCAGCTGGGCTCTGAGGATGGAGAATAAATGCTCAGTGACAACCTGCGAGTGGCCATGAATGTGCCTGATGCGGGGGCTTTGGGGGGGCCTGGTCCCCCACCCCCACCCCTGCACGGGGCAGACCTTTGCCCTAGGTCCCCAGCAGGAGCAAGGATGGACCCTGTGGTCCTGGCTGCTGACCTGCCCACCACCCCACATGCAGAGAACAGCGTGCAGCCCTGGGTGGGAGCTGGGCACAGAAACTGGGTCAGCCGCATCCCTGGAGGACTCCCAGGCCCCCAGCCAAAAGCATCAGAGCATCCACCAGGGCTCCCCATAGAGCTGCTGCCCAGAGTGCCAACCTTGCGAATTCCAACATCTCAGAATGCCACAGGGCAGGGGATGGGGTGGGGGGACGTGCATGGGCCTCCGGGCAGTTAGCAGTCACGCACCACATCACTGTGCCCACTCAAGCGAGGCCCCTCCTCCCGGCTGCCTAAGGCAGACAGGCCCCCTTGTGGGGCTCTGGGCTCAACCCACCTGTGATCACAGCGAGAGCTCAGCCAGGGTGGAGCCAGAGGCAGCTGCCTGCCCGAAGGGTCTCTGCAGAGACCCTGCCCCTGCTCCCTGCGCCTCCATCCCCTCATCCCTAACAGCACTGGGGGGGTCCACAGGGCAACAGCCTGCACAGACAGATGGCTACCGCGGCGGGCCAGTACCAGCCTCCATCAGCCTGGAGTTGGGTGGGATAGCCTCCCCTCCGCGCACTCCCAGCCCCTCTGTCCTCACCGAGGACGGCCCCTGCACCTCCCTCCCACTGCCTTCCCCCTCGGCCCTCCTCTCCCTGCCCACCTGCCACCCCCACCCAACTGTTTCCTCCCCTCCTCGGGCCCCTGCCGAGCCTCGGGCCGTGTGGGCCTGGCTGCCCTGAGCCCCTCACCCCCAGTGCAAGCTCCGCCCGCAGCCCCTGCTGGTGAGCGTCTGCGTGGAGGATGAAGGGTGGTCCCTGAAGGACATGCCGCCAGCCCACCTAGCACAGGTTTTTGGCCCCTCCCCAGGCCCCCTTGTGGCCACACCCGCCACGCCTCCTGGGCACAGCTCAGCCATCACGCCTGCTGCCCCCACAGGGGTCACTGCTGCCCCCGGCCCCTCACAACCTGTCCTGGGCCTGCAGTGGACTTTGAAAATCCCCCGGACACACCCTGTTGCTTCCCAGCTGCTGGCACCTGCCAGAGGGTCTGGGCCCGCAGGGGCTGCGGCTGCGGCAGGACCATCCTGACAGCTTCCCTTGCAGGTGGCCTCCCTGCCCAGCTCAGGCCGGGCCACCCCAGAGCACCCCAGGGAGTGGCCATGTCTCTGTCTTTGTGCCCCAGTGCCCCAGTGACTGGGCACCATGGGGCAGGTGGGGCTCCCTTTACGTCTCCCTGGATCCCAGTTCCTGGACTCACAAGGGCGTTTCCCGTGCCAGGACAGAGAATTGTTTTTCTCCAGCCGGCCGGCACCACCGCTGTCCACCACCCTCAGATCCCAGGAACCTGCTGGTGAGGCCAGGGGGCCAAAGGCTACCCCACCCCCTCCCTTTCAGAGCCAGGAGTCCGCCCCCACCCCTGCCCTCACCACCCACCACAGGGACGGGGGTACACAGCCACCGCCACGTGCCAGGCTCCAAGCCCTGCTTAGTGCCGAGGGGCCCGGGAGATCAGTCAGGCTGGGGCCTGGGGCTAACCCTGACTTCTGGGCAGCAGGGTGGGACCTACTGGTGGGGAGGGCCTGGGGGAAAGCCAAGGGCACACAGGACCCGCTGCAGAGCATAAGCCTGCTCAGGGACCAGGGCTGAGCCTGCGGAGCAAGCGACAAGACAGATGGGAAGAGGGCTGGACTTGACAGACAGGCAGCCACAGAGGGCAATAAGGCAAGATGGGAGGGTGGCAGGGCCCATGGGTGCCAGCTGCCCTGGAGATGCCCCATAGGCTAGCTTCTCCCCCTTGAGAGCCCCCCCAGCCCCTCCGAGAGCCCCCAGGGCCAGATCTCGACCTGCTCCCTGTGGGTAGCCTGCCCCCCACCACTGGCCCCTGGACTAAGGCCTCAGAGCCCAGACACGGGGTCCACCCGCCCATCTGCCTCCCACAGCCTACTGTGGGCAGCCCACAGCGGTCACACTCCAGGGGGCAGGCAGCTGGCAGCTCAGGAGTCCAACCCCGCCATTAGGGCCCAATCCTGCTCCCACTCACCTGCTTGGCCAGGCGGGCCTCAGTCTCCCCATCTGTAAAGCAGGCTGGTGGGGGCAGATCCCATGAGCAACACGTGGCCAAGCTGGGGACAAAAGGCCTGTCTACAGCCCGGCACTTGCTGTGTTGCTGTGGTCATCTGTCCACCCGGGGCCTGGGGCACCCTGGAGGCTGAGCCCACATAGAGCAGTGAGCATCTTCCTCCTGCACTCTCTAGCCCGTAGGGAGTCCTCCACCCAGCCTGGGCTCTGGAGTAGGTGGAAACCCCATCACCAAGCGACGACAGCGCTTCAGAGCTGACCGGCCAGCCTCCAGGGGTCAGTGCTGGGGCCCAGAGTGAGACTGCCCACCTCCTGTGGGGTCCACCCCCTGAACCCCACCTTCTACAGACTCTAGGTGTCACTGTTGGGCCAGCTGGACAGGGACTCACTGGACAGCTTTCAGGAGGGACAGTCCCCACCGGCTCTGGGTGCCCTCCAGCTGTCAATGCTGTGGCTGGCCTTCCAGGGGCCAGGGAGTGGCCCTCAGCTGGTCCTTCCAACCGTCAGTCCCCCAGGGTCAGTGCCTCGGCTTGTATGTGGCTGGCTCGATGAGCACGTAGTCCTGGGTGAGCTGGCCCTGCCAAGCAGGGGCAGATGTAGTGAAAGTTGGAGGCCGGGCACCAGGCATGTGTGACCGGCATGGCCCTCCCATCAAGGCTGCCTGCACACCCTCCCTGCCCCACAGAGCACACACGTGTGGACACGCGTGGGAAGCTCTGCTCCAGTACCCACAGAACAGAAACACACCACACGTGTCACTCAACCCAGATACCACAGTGAGGCCACGTGTGCCTGAGATCCCTGCTGGAGACACACACACACCTCCTGCACATGTATGCACATAGATGTGTGTGCTCCTGGGGATACATAGACATGCATGTGTGCTCACCCGTGGATGCGGGCACACACGTCAAGTGCAGGTGCGCACATATACAGATGCATATGCGACCCTCAGGGCAAGGTCATGGCTCAGCCAGCCCGCCCCCCCCGCAGTGGGGAGGGATGTGTGCTGGACTGCCGCCAACCGTGAGCTAAGCCTCCTGCTCCCATGGGGCTGGGGAGCAGGTGCCCGCTGTGCCCGGGGCCCCCAGGGGCTGACAAGGCAGTGTCACCTGGTATAGCCCCAGCCCCTCCCCTACACATCTGCCTGGAGGGTGTTGCTGCCGGAGTGGGTGGCTGGCAGGGCAGGGTGCTGAGCGGGGCATGGAGGTGAGCAGAGACGTGGGCGCTCCCACCCTGCACCAACCCTGCACTCCGAGGCTCAGTTGCAGGGGCTGACCCTGAGCGGGCTGGGACCCTGTGTCTGGAGTCTACAGCATCCCTGTGTCCGACACCTGCCGTCTGGACCCTGAGCAGCCTCCCTCCAGGACAGACGTCATTCTTAGTGCTCAGGTGAGGGGCAGGGAGGGGCAGGAGCCACCACCCAACGGACACGCGGGGGCCCAGCTGTGAGTCAGGCCTCCTTGTGGACCCGGGCAGGTAGCTGAGCCCCTCCGGGCCTCCATCTTGCCTCTATGTGGGGTGGTTACCTCCCCATCTTCTTCGTGCAGAGCCCAGAGGCCCGCAGGTGCCCCAGGCTGGCAGCCCATGCGTGGCTGTGGCCCAGGGACTGGCGATGTGGACCAGGCTCCCTGCCACCGCCCCCACCCCGGGCCTGTTTTGGCCTCCACCACGGCCAGGGCGCCCAGCAGGCTGCAGCATGTGTTGTGCCCGCGGCCAGCTCTCACTGGGCATCCGAGATCTGGGAGGGGAAGGGGGCTCCCTGGGAACCGGGTGTGGGGCAAAGCTGGGTGGCACCAGGGCAGGTCGGGGCCACCAGGCTTCTCCCAGCTGCTGCAGGCACTCACTGGGTCCTGGACATCCACCACCCACCCCGCACCCCAGAGCTGTCGAGAGATTTGTTCATGGGAGACACAGCAGCCAAGCCCACGGGTCCCCCGAGCCTGATCTGCGATAAGAAAGGCCCTGGGATCTGGCCTGGCTCCCCCACAGCCCCACCACTCCCCTTTGTTCCAGAGACTCACTGTTTGTGGGTCGTGCCTGAGACACAGCTGCAGCCCAAGATTCGAGGTCCCCTGCACCGTGTGACCCTGGGTGGTGACCTCCCCTCTGCAACCCCCTCCCCCAGCCTCACCACCTTCCGTCTCCTGTCCAGCTTGACCTGGACCCACTGCCTGCGACCCTGCTGCCTTCCTGCCAGGACGACCAGTGGGCACCACACAGCCATGGGCCCCAGAGCAGGTGAGATGACTCTCCCTCCCCATCTTGGAGGGTAGCGCCCACGGCTGGCTCCCGGGGGTGGCAGAACCACACTCCCCCCTCCTGAGTCTTTACCTGGGGTCCTGCCCTGGACCCACCACTGGACATCAGGGGCACAAAGGGGGTGGCACAGATGGGACACTGGGCCGTGGGGACAAGGCAGGGGCAAGGGGGCCACGGCCAGGAAAGACTGAGCAGCTGAGGACAGGAAGAGGTGGGCGCTGACCCCTGTCCCCTGCTTGGGGGTCTTGGGGCTCGGAGCATGAGGGCAGAACCGCAGGGGTGGAGGGAGAAGGTGCACTCAGTGGACACTGCCGGGCCCACGTGCAGGCCGCCACATAGGTGTGTGCGTCACATGCCACCAGCCACACACGCACACACTGTCACACACACGTACACACTGCCACACACACGTGTACACATCATCACACGCATGCGTGCACACCACCACACACGTGCGTGCACACCACCACACGTGTATGTGCACACTGCCACACACGTGCATAAACACTGTCACAACCGTGTGTACACACCATCACACACGTGTGTACACTGCCTCACCAGTAGACACACAGATATACTATGTGGGCACAAATGCCATCACAGACACGTACACCCCACCACATGTGTGGATACATCACCACACAGGTACGAGGTGCGCACGCGTACAGCACCAGACAGTAGACATACTGCCACACACACCTACCTGGTCAGAGGTGCCCAGCATGCTCAGGGCTGGGCTAGCGCACAGATGCCCAGCTCCCCAGGTGGCGCTCCCCAGCGTCGGGCCGGTCACAAGCCCACCTGGGATGCAGGGCCCTGGCAGACCCGCACGGGATGCTCCCATACACGTGCGCGTGGCCTGTTCTGTTCCAGGTGCCCTGGTGAGCCCGGGCCTCGCCCTCCTGGTGTCACTCACTGCCCACTGCTCTCACCCCCAGGCCGAGGGCGCCTCCCAGGGAGGCCTGGATGCCAGCAGGGCCGACCTGTGGGCCAGGTGAGTGCAGGCTCTGTGTCCACATCAGGTTTACTGCAGCAGATTCCCCGGGTTGGGGTGAGAAGGAGGGACCACCTCCAGGGTCTGCTCATGACGCGCGGGCATGGTCAAGCAGGAGAGGCCTGGCCCTGCCAGCCCAGGTCACTCGCTGGAGATGGCTGGGCCTCTGGTGTCCTGCACCAAAGTCACACCCACATGGCTGGGACAGGCCCCCTCCTCGGCCTGGTGACAGTCACTTCCTGTCCTGAGGCCTCTCAGTTTCCTTCTCTCCACCCCGAGTCTGGCTGCCCTCTCAGGCCCCAAACTGAGACCCGTCTAGGGGGTCCTCTGGTGGGGGTTGAAGTCACTGGTCTGCCCCCATCAACAGACCAATCAACTGAACCACCAGGCAGGGCTGCAGGCCAAGCTGGACCAGTCGGGCCCTGGCTCTGGTCTCGTGAGACTTGACCCTCGCTGGTGCACAGGTCGTAGAGGCACACCAGGAGGATGGCCTGGCTGTGGGCACCCAGCAGGTGCCCTCCAAACCCCCAGCCATCTTGGGGCCTCCGAGCCCTAAGCTCCAGAACTGGGCCCCTGGTACTAGGCCTCAGACCCAGAGCCTGGACAGGGGTCACTTTTTTTTTAATATTTATTATTTTTTAAAAATTTTATTTGGCTGTGCCGGGTCTCATTTGCAACATGCAGGATCTTCAGTCTTCACTGAACACACAGGATCTTTAGCTGTGGCATATAAACCCTTAGTTGCAGCATATGGGACCTAGCTCCAACTAGGAATCGAACAGGAATCGAACCCGGGCCCCCTGTATTGGGAGTGTGAGGTCTCAGCCACTGGACCACCAGAGAAGTCTCTGGACAGGGGCTCCCTGTAAGCCCTGCTCATAGCTTGGAGCCTTGGCACCACAAGGGTGCCCTCGGGGGGGCGTCCACACCTCCTGCATCTCTCGCCCTCACCCCAAGTTGAGGAGCCTGACCTCCGTCCCGAAGGCTGCAGTCCGCGGCCCGCACTCCCTCTGCCCCTCACCATCCGTCTCCTTTCCACCCAGTGCCAGCGCCTCCCTCCTGCAAGGCTTCTGGTGCCAGCCAGCCGGCCAGCTGTCCCGCGACCAACTTGCAGCTCTCATCCGGAGGATGGCAACGCAACACGTCCTCCTCAGAGCCTGGCAGGTCAGCGGCGGCCACCGCCAAGACTGCTTGGGGGTCGAGGGCAGGGGTGGACTCCCTGGAGAAGGGCCCCAGGGACAGGCAGGAAGGGAGGCGTCCCTAGCAGGGGGCCCAGGCAGCACAAGGCCAGGATTGTGGGGTCAGGATGCAGGGTAGTTCTCCTGGAGCGCGAGGGCCGCTGCACCGACAGTCTTATTATAAAATTAATAGAAAATCAGTAATACATTTGAAATGACCTGAGGAGAACAGGACAAGATGTCCAGGCGGGGGGTAGATAGGGTAAGTGGACCCTTAGGGAGCCACCATGGTGGGGAGGGGATCTGAGGCTGGTGTTCCCTGTCCTGAGGCCGTTTCTCACCTGGAGGTGGATGCAGGAAGAGGAAGACAGAAAGTCAAGTGACAGAGAGCCGCCAGGCAGGAGGAGGGGTCAGTGGACGCGGGACGGGGGGCTGAGAGGTGGGCGGGGGCTCCAGGGAGGTCCCAGTCAGAGCAGAGGGCCCAGGAGAGCCCAGACCACACAGCGAGTGACACGCCGCCCGCCGTGCCCAGCTCAGCTGCCTGGCCAACCTGGCCGCCCGACAAGGCCTCCAGGGCGACTTCGCTCTCCACCCCCCCGACCTGCTGCTCTTCTACAAGTGAGTGCCCTTCGCACCCGGCACCCAGCCGTGTGGGCCGAGCACGCTCCCAGGGACACCCTCACTCGGAGGGCTCCCCGTCGGCCCTCCCAGTGGCCCCCCAACCTTTCCGCAGCCTGACGCAGGTGGAGGAAGCGGACTGCCGGGCCTTCATCCGCCGTGCTGCCCAGGGAGACACAAAGCTGCTGGCCAACCTGCCCGACCAGAGGGCCGCCCTGCAGCACAGGGCCCTGGCCTGCCTGGTAGGTGCCGTGGGCCGGCCGGCCAGGTGATGGGCTATGGGACCAGGCTCGAGCTGACCTGCTATCCTGCAGGGAGGGCCCCAGCCAAGGCTCAGCGCCTCCGACCTGCTGCTCCTCGGGGTCCTGGTGTGTGACATGGACGCTTCCAGCATCGCGGCTGCAGACCCCCATGTGCTACAGAACCTGCGGCACTGTCCCCGGCTCACCGCTGCCCAGCAGGCTGCCCTCAACAGGCTGTTGGCCAGTGGCAGGACCGTCCTCGGGTGGGTGGGGACCCCTCCCTCCTGCAGATGAGAGAAGAGGCAGCCTGGGGGTTGGTGTTCACAGCCCCACTGACCTCCAAGTCCGACCCAGCTCACACCCCACCCTGACCCTGCAGCCCACGGGGTACCCAGAGGCTTGGGGTGGGAGCGTCCACTGGGCGAGCCCTGGGAACAGCACCCGGGGAGGGCAAGCTGCCTGAGGGGGTCCGGGCGCTGCTCAGGACCCGACTCAGAGCTCCTTTTGCACACCAGGCCCCCTGGCTCCTGGAACCTGGAGGGGCTGCAGGCTCTGGGACCCCTGGCCTCATACATCAGCCCTGGGCTGTGGATGCAGCTGCAGGAGGTAGGACAATGCCCCAGGTGGGGTGATGGAGGGGAAGGGGGATCCAGCTGAACTTCCACCAGCCTGTCCAGCCCTAAGGGCCAGCCTGCAGCCACTCTGATACCCAAGTGGTGTCCCCAGTCGCTCCCCGTCATGGAGTTTCTGTCTGAGGGGAAGGAGAAGGGAAGAGGTGGCCCTCCCCAGGGTGTGGACTCTCCAGGCCCGCCCGCCAGGCCGTGGGCCTGGACTTCTTCCGCAGCATAGTGGCCGCATACCGGGCAGGGCAGCTCAGGCAGCGTGATGCCAGGCGCTTTGTTACCAGCTTCCTCGAGGCCAAGTCCAGGGCAGTGTCTTCACCATCCAAGCGGGACACAGGTCAGTGTGGCCACCATGGTCTGGGGACGCTGCGTCCCCCTCTGCTCGGGTTTCTCATCCTGCAGTGGGGGCCCCAGAGGCACGGCACCCTCTGCCTGGACCTCCTGAGCTCGACCAGGGCCTGTGTCCTGGCCGGGGGGAGTGGTCAGAGTCTGGTGGGGCTGGTTTGGGCATTGAGATCGAGGTCAGGGTTGACTCAGCCTGGTCTCGGCCAAGTTTTCAGCTAGGAGTCAAGCTTGGAAAGAGCCAAGGTTAGGAGTGAGGTGGGGCCCAAAGTCAGCCGTGGTGGCCAGCTCAGGCAGAGGCTGACCAGCCAGGTCCTAAACACCCGCACTCCCACCTGCAGGGAGACCCTGCATCCGTGGCAACATCACTGCGGCCACCCTGCACGACGACCTCTTCCTGGTGCGCTACGACTGCGGGCAGCTCGAGTCCTGCCTGGGCAGCCGCGTGCTCAGGGCCAACCTGGACCCCCTGCTGCAGCACCCGCTGCCGGCCGAGTGCCAGCAAGTCGTCAAAGCTAAGCTAGCTAGGGTGTGCCAGAGCCCAGCAGTGGGAGGGGGTGGGGGGTAGGCCGTGTGGCCTGACCACCACCTGCCGCCCACCTGCAGGTCTACCCGGGAGGAGTCCCTGAGGAGCAGCTGCGGCTCATCCCCTCGCTGGCCTACCTCTACTCCCTCTCGGAGATTGGTCAGTGGCACATCACATCCAAGGACACGGTCGTGACCCTGCTGGCCCCAGATGGGGCCCTGGAGAACCAGACCGAGGTGAGAGTGGGTGGGGGTGTGGTGGGCGGGAGACCCTCACTGACCCTGGCCTTGCTGACCCCAACCTTGCCTGCAGGCCATCCTGCAGAAGTTCCTGGACCACAATGGCACCATCACTGGTGCGCTGCTCGTGGCCATTGGGGGCTCTCGCCTCTGCTGGATGAGCCCCCGGCAGATCCAGGCCATCCGGCCCTCAGAGTTCCGGTGAGCCCCCATCAGAGTTCCCGCCCCTACCTCCCACCTCCACTCCTCAGCCAAGGCAGGCTCAGGTGGGGGCCCAGAACAGGCCATCCGAGGTCACCAGCTTCCCATGGCTGCAGTGACAAAGGTTTACAAGCAGAGTGACTGAAAGCAACAGAATCATGTCCTCTCACAGTCTGGAGGCCGGAAATCTGAAATCCAGGTGTCAGCAGGGCCGTGCTCGCTCTGAGACCTGAAGGGGCGGCTCCTTCCTCCTCTCCCAGCTTCGGGGGTCCCATCACCCCGTCTCTGCCTCCCTGTGCATACATTCCCTTCTTCAGACACCAGTCATTAATTTAGGGCCCACCTAAGTCAGTGTGTGCCGACTCATTGGAAAAAACCCTGATGCTGGGAAAGGTTGAGGGCAGAAGAAGGGGACAACAGAGGATGAGATGGTTGGATGGCATCACCGACTTGATGGACATGAGTCTGAGCAAACTCTAGGAGATGGTGAAGGACAGGGGAGCCTAGCGTGCTGCAGTCCATGGGGTCGCCAAGAGCCCGACATGACTCAGAGACTGAAGAACTAAGTCAGGGTGACCGCATCTTAATCTGATTATGTGTACAAACAGGAAAGACCCTATCTCCAAATCAGGTCACACTGTGAGGTTCTTGGTGCACCTGCGTCCACACTACGGAGCCCAGTACCGAGGGCAAGGGGAAAGCCGTGGTTTGGGATGAGAGGGTGGGACCGGTGACCCAGGTGGAGGGCCCCTGGCCTGCCCACGAGCCGCGCCCCCTCCCCCAGGCTGGCCGGGGCCCTGGACATCTCCTCCTGCCCTCAGACCCGCAAGAACGTGCTCTTTGACAAGGCCCGCGAGGCCTTCTCCAGCGCCAGCACCACCGACACCTACTACCGCTTCATGCGCCCCTACCTCGGTGAGACCCGGGCCGGCGTGGGGCCCGCCTCCCAGAAGCCCCTCCCCTCGAGGCCCCTCCCCTCACCGCTGCCACGCCCCTAGGCGGTGCCCCCGTGGAGGAGCTGCGGCACCTGGCCCAGGCTAACGTCTCCATGGACATCGACACCTTCACCAACCTGAACCCCCGAGTGCTGCAGGTGAGTGGGGCTGCCCGTCAGGGGGAGTCGGGGAGCCTTAGGTCACGGTCTGCAGGCCCCAACACCCCAAAGTCTGAGGTGTGCAGAGAGTGGGGCCCCAGGTCACTTAAAGGCGGTTCGCAGGGTCTTACCACGCCCACCTCTGGCCAAGCGCTAACCCGCCCTTTCCCTGCTCCACCCCTCACTGCCCCCCGCAGAGCCTGAGCGTGGGCAACGTGACGACGCTGCTGGGTCCGAACGTGGGGGACCTGCAGAAGGCTCGGAGCCACCCTATCATCAGCTCCTGGCTCCGCAGCCTCAATCGGTCAGCCCTGAGCGAGCTGGGCCTGGACACGGGCCCCACCGGCCCCACCAGCTCTGCCCACCCGACCACTGGGACGCCCAGCACCACCCTCTGGACGCGCCATCAAGCCCCCACCTCAGAAGGGCCTGGGAGCACCGCCCCCAGCTCGGGTACCCTGCACCCACCCTCCTCCCCCCACCCTGACACCACTCCCGGCTTCTCCTCTTGCACCCCATCATCTCATTCTCTGCTGGCGACACTTCCCATCTGCCTCCTTGGGCGACACATGGGTGACACTGACTTAGCCCTGCATTGCCTGCTGAGTTAGTGAAGACACGGTCGCCTCCCCAGACCTGCTGAGCAGCAGAAAGTGGAGGATGGGGCAGCTCTGAGGTCCCCGCTGGGCCCAGAAGAGCGGCCCTCCCTGGGGGTCCTCACTGCTCTTCCCCACCCTCGGGGACGGTGGGAGGGGTGGGCCCAGAGCCTGGGACGCAGGGCAGCCTGGGAGCTCCCAGCTAGACTGAAGGTGCTCTCTCCGTGTGCTACCTGCAGGCAGCCCACCAGCCCACCTGGGGTACCTGCCCCTGGCTATGGCCCTGCCCGCAGGCCTCCTATGGCTGCTGTATGGAGGCTCGCCAAGGCCCAGCTGGGGCCACCCGCAGGGGATCTGCAGCACGGTGGAGGACTGCACTGCCCCAGCTCCACATGCAGGAGAACAGGGCTTGGCACGGGGAGCTGGACGCCTGCCTGGACCAAGATGCAGGCCCCAGGGGCCCTGGCCACATCCCCCATCCTAGGGGCCTGAAGGGCCAGTGCCTGCCTACGCCCAGCGCCCAGGACCTGGAGCCAGAGGGAGGGCCTGGGCCCGGGGTCACTGCCCCGGCCGGTGAGGAAGACGCTGCCCCTGTGCGCAGGCTTCTTCTGTGGACTGACTTGGCCAACTGACTGAATAAAGAACAAGCTGATCTTCCCGCCTGTGTCCCTTTGCTCTGGGCCTGAGGAGGGACAGAGCCCCTCTCAGCTGGGGTCAGGACTCCACCCTGCCATCTCCTGGGGCAGTTGTGTCACCAGAAGCCACCTGGAGCATTGGCCTGGACTAGGGGGAGACCCTGCGTGGAAACAGCGCCAGGAAGGCCCCGAGGGCCTCCTGCCTGGAGCCCCTCCCCCCTCCAAGGGCCCGTGGGAGGGGCTGCAACCCAGGGGGCCCTGTGCAGGGGGCACAGCCGTCAGGGCTCCCCTTCAGTCCTCAGAACACCACGGGGCACCTCTTCAAGAGGGGGATGGGGTTCTTTTATTGAGCTCCAGAGCCCTCGGTATCCAAGCCCGGCGGGGTCTCCACGCAGCGCCGGTCGCCAGGGCACAGCAGCAGGCTCAGCTCAGGACCGAAGCCAGGAGCAGACTTGCGGTAACAGTGAGCACAGGTCCAGGCCCTCGTCCGAGGCGGTAGGGGCCTCCCGAGGAGGCGTCTGCACAGAGAAGAGGCGCCTCAGCCCCTGCCTCTCACTCTGCCCGACACCGCCCAGCCGGCCACCCAGCCCACCTCGGCCGTGGAGGTCCAGGACCAGGTAGCCGTTGGGGACGCCGCCGACGAGCCCCAGCCCCAGCCTGTCCAGGTCCTCCTGCGACTGTCGGGAGATCCAGTCCCGCAGGGGCACGTTCCCCGCCTCAGCCTTCAGGCCCACCAGGTTTGGGCCCAGAAGTTTCTGCACCTCGGCCACGGTTAGCGACTGCCAGAGCCCGCAGGCAGGGGTCAGAATCCGCCTGCCTTTTCCCAGAGGCTTCGAGCTTCTCCTGCACCCAAACCACCCTGACACCCCACCCACGGACCCCGCCTTAGCCTAGGTAGACCCCGGAAGGGGCTTTGATGGCCACCCCTCCCAAGACCCCGCCCCTAGAGGCCCCGCCCACAGAAGGCCCCGCCTTTCTCCACCTTCGTACCAGCACCGCCTCTTTTGGCAGTCTCTTGAATGCAGCCACGTCTATACTGATGTTCTGCTGAGTAAAAACCCTCAGGTCTTCCGTGGAGGCCCCACCTGCCCTCGGGGAGAGGAACCGCCAAGTGTGAGACCGTGCAGCAGCCTCCAGTCCCACCCTCTGACCACAGGCTACCAGAAGCCACTTCTTTTACCACGAGTCCCTTTTCCTAAGGAATTCCTGGGCCCCTGGTTTGCCTGGTGACCACCTGACCCTCTGGGTTGGAGGAGAGGTTGGAGGTGCCCAGGACTCACAGGGTCTCAGCCAACACACACTTGGAGGGACAGACTGTGAACACTGGTCACGCCACCAGTGGACTGCCCAAAGACTGGGGAGCCTCAGGCATCATTCCCCCCATATCTTCCTGGGCTCACCCAGGAAGGGCTTGATCCTTTTGACGTATTCAGACCCGCTGACGTTCTGGAAGGCCATGCGGGCCTTGTGGTAGAGGACAACCATCTGTGGTGGCCTACACGCGTCCAGGTCCTGGGGTGTGGTCATCCTGGGGAGGCAGCATGGGGCTGGGCAGTGAGCTCGGAGCACAGCACTCCCACCATCCCCGACAGACCCCAGGACTCACCAAAGCACGCTGAGCTGCACGGAGCCCAGCTGCTCGGGGCGGAGGAAGCACAGGTAGGCAGGGCGGAAGGTGGCCAGGGTGTCCAGGGTGGCCTTGTCCAGCTGGCCCCCTCCCCCTACATAGCGGGCAATCAGGGCAGCCACCTGTGGGAGGAGGCCACTCAGTGGCTTGGGGCAGGGAGAGGTATACCCCCGGGCCCGGACCACCTCACGCCCTGTGCCACCCCCGGGCCTGGACCACCTCACACCCTGTGCCACCCCCGGGCCTGTGCCACCTCATGCCCTGTGCCACCCCCGGGCCTGTGCCACCTCACACTGGGCTGCCCCACCCCCCACTACGCCTGCACAGCCTCACACCCTATGTCTGCCCCTCCCCACCCCCACAGCTCTCACCTGAGCATCCACCCCGCGCCCTTGGCTGACTTTGAGCAGAGATTTCACGGTGTCCAGGGAAGTCACATTCCACTTGTGGATGTCCTCAGGGGTGACGTAAAGGAAGAAGTACCTCAGGTGCTCGATCAGGGACTGGGGGTACCCCTGCGGGTAGAACTTCCGGGGGAAGGGACCGTGAGGGCCGCCGCCACGGCTGGGGCAGCAGGGACGGCTGCACTGTGGCGGGCGGGCTGAGCCCTGAACTACCTCATCCAGTTTGCGCTTGAAAATGTGCAGCTGCTGGTAGGTGAAGGGAATCAGGTTCACTCGTCCCATCTGCGCGGCCAGCAGGGCCCCGTCCACACAGGCCTCCAGCTCCCACTCCTCATAGAAGACGAGGTTCTCGTCCACCACCTGGGCCTCCTGCCCCAGGGGACAAGCCTTCTCTGCAGAGACAGCCAGGGGGTGGGGGGTGCTGGGCTTCTCCCGTCAGCCTCCTCCTCCTCCTGCAGGGTCTCCCTGCGCTGAGACCCTCAGCAACACACGACTCTCTGGGCCTCAGTTTGAAAGGTGAAAGTCGCTTAGATGTGTGCGACTCTTTGCAACCCCATGGACTATACAGTCCATGGAATTCTCCAGGCCAGAACACCGGAGTGGGTAGCCTTTCCCTTTTTCAGGGAATCTCCCCAACCCAGGGATTGAACCCAGGTCTTCCACATCGCGGGTGGATTCTTTACCAGCTGAGCCACCAGGGAAACCCAAGAACACTGGAGCGGGTAGCCTATCCCTTCTCCAGCGGATCTTCCCAACCCAGGAATCAAACCAGGGTCTCCTGCATTGCAGGTGGATTCTTTACCAACTGAGCTATCAGGCACGCCGGGGCCTCCATTTACCCATCAGCAAAATGGCGCGATTCTATTCACTCTCCCGTGTTATCATGACTGAAGGAGCTCAGTGGCCAGGAAGGGCCACAGGTACAGGTAGAGGAGACCTCACGGTGCCAGCCCCCGCCCCCCGCCTCCTGACGCTGATGGGGCTGGGCCGCGTGCTCACTCTCTGTGCCCCGCCGGGCCCTCGGGAGGAGGCCGGTCAGCTCAGGCTGCTGCCAGGACAGGTCCCGGGATGTGCGCTGCAACCTTGAGGTCAGGAGAGCCTGAGAACAGAGCAGGGCTGGGACTTAGCGGGGGGTGTCCTGGGTTCCAAGGAACACCACCCCCCCACCAACAGGGCCAGAAAACCTTCCCCTGACTCCCCAGAGGGTCCTTACCAGTCCCACGTCGGCAGCCTGGGCCCTGGAAGGTAGAACCCAACCTGCAGGGGAGGGGAAACCAGGCTTGAGGGGTGGCCAGGGGCTCCACCCTGGGAGGAATGGGGCCAAGGTGGTCCCTCCTGGCCAGCCCCTGGTGTCACGGCCCACGACACCCCACGAAGGAGCACAGGCCTCCGCATCCTCCTCCTGGGGCCCTTGCTCAGGGCAGGCGGATGTCTGTGCTGTGGGCACCCTCGGTTTGGCCTGTGCCCCCACCACAGCCCTGCAGGGCGGGTGGGGTCCAGCAGGGCTGCCAGACACAGTCCCCTCTCGGGGCAGAGATGAGGCTAGCCACCTACCTGGGACTCGCACCTGCTGACATTCAGGACACGGGTCTCCGGAATCAGGGGCCCCTAACGGGGTGGGGGGCCCTGTCCATAGCGGGGGAGCACCCGTAGAGCCGGCAGAGCCTTTCCTGAGGCCCCGGACCCCTGAGGACCCCCGTGGCCCTCTGCGCTCTCTGCACTCCAGTGTCCGGCCACCCACCCTCAGTGCTCACCAAGGCTGAGGAGCAGGAGCAGGAGGCTGCCGTGGGCGGGGGTCCCCCGGGACCCCAGGCTGGGTGGAGCAGTCTGCAAGGCCATGGTCTTCGGAGGACAGGCGCTCTGATGTCCCCACCGCTTCCCCACTACTGTGTCCCCCCCGCGACCCTGCCCCAGGCCAATGCTGAAGGGTCACTGGGGTTCAAGGGCTCGGACCTGCACAGGCCTCCAGGTCGTCTGTGCAGCCGCCCTGCGCAGCACCAGCCAGCCCCAGCCCCGCCCATCTGGGCAGCTGGCCCCACCTTTGGGGTCAGGGTGAGTCAGCCCGGCCCCCAACCATGAGGGCCCAGGCTGGCTGGCGCAAGCCTCTCCCTCCGCAGGGCAGGCGGGGCGGGGCAGGAGTCTCCCGTGAGGAGGCAGGGCTGCCGTTGGCTCTGGCTGACCTCGGTTCCCCACTCAACACAGGGGAGCTGAGTGACCCCACCCCACCCCGCAGCATGGTCATCTCCCCTGGGCTTCGTGCACACCCAGGCCCTGCTGGGGCACCAGGCTGGCAGGGCCCACGGGGTTCCCTCCTGAACTCCCCCTCAAAGCAGAGGCCTGGGCAGCGCCAAAGGGAGTTCCCCGCGGCCTAGGGGTCAGGACCCCGGGCTTTCATTGCTGTGGCCCAGCTTCAGCCCCTGGTCGGGGAACTGAGGTCACACATGCCATGCATTGCAGCCAAAACACAACCGAGGGTGACAGCCCTTCCCGCCAGTCAGCCCCGCGGGTGGGAGCAGGCGGACATTCTGGGGAGACCTTCCTGTGCTCTCTGGAGTGGGATTGGGGCCTGTGGACCAGTGTGGGCATGAGGTGGGTGGGGAGTGGATCCCTGGAGAATATTGTCCCAGAATAGGTGGGGGTCAGCAGGAGACCAAACCGCTGTCCACACGCATCTTCCAGGGAGGCCTGGAGGGGGCCACCACGGCCAGGTGGAATGGAACGACCCCCTCCCCCAAACCTCCACCCAGGTCTGTGTCGGGCCCACCCGACAACAAGGGTGAAGCACCAGCGGGGGCAGGAGAGGGGGCTGCCCTGTCTCCCCCAGCCTCCCAGGTTGAGCCCAGTACCAGCCTCCACCCAATCCCTGGGCTGGGTGCTGAAGACCCCAGTCACTTCCATGGTGACTCTGATGTTGGGGTGATCAGCCAGTTCTGAGCCTGTTTCCTCAACTGGGATGCAGACTCCTGGTCTGTCAAGGGAAACAAATGAGGGGCTGGCCAGCAGCTGGGAGGGGTAGGACTCAGGCTGCAGGAATGTGCGGGTGGAGACCTGGAGAGGTGTGGGGGGGAGGGGAGGGGCCTCTGCTTTTTCCTCTGTGGGCGGGCGTGGGAGCTCCAGGTCAGCTGACCATCAGGTACCAGGCATGCGTGGGGAGTCAAAGCCTTGCCTCGTCAGGTCTTATTCTCCCATTTCTCAGGTGGTAAAACTGAGGCTCAGTGCCGCAGAGATGCCACAATCGCACAGTAAGGCCAGGGAGTGGCCCCCAGCTGGTGCTATGAGGGTCTGGACCCGAGTCAGCAGGTTCTGGGTGATTGCTGCCCAGCCAGGACATGACCCCCAGGAGTGAGCTCCAGGCTGGGGGTGGCCAGGGAGGGGGCCTTGGGAGCCCACCTGCCCATACACTGGCCATCTCCCAGAAGGGAGGTGGAAGACACCTTCCTGCTGCTGTGGCCCCAGGGGTGGACAACGTGCGTCTTTGTGCTAGCCGGACCCCAGTGTCTGCATCCTGACTTGGGCACTCGTGGGCACTCGTGCAGATCCTGACTTGGCCCCGCAGCCTCCGTGTGCACCCCTGGAGCCGGAGTCCCTGGCAGCTCCTTTGATCCCTGCCCTGCACGCTCAATACTTTGGTCAAGTCTGTCTACAATACACACCTGCAAATGTTTCTGTTTGTTGATCTGTGTATGTACGGCTGCCCCATCTCTGACCTCTCTCCATGGGCTGGGTTTTCTATTCTGTGCAGTCAAGCCAGATGCCAATTTATACAGAAATCAGGAAGGCTGCCAGGTACATTGGGGAAGGAAATGGCAACCCACTCCAGTGTTCTTGTCTGGGAAATCCCATGGACACCAGGAACATGAACTAACTCACAGATAGTGTCTTAAAAAAAAAAAAAAGTCATGTTCATAGATAACAACTGAAAAATTCAGACAGAATATTTAAAAACCAATTCCCAGGACTTCAGTGGGTTAAGACTGGGCACTTCCACTGCAGGGGGGTTGGGTTCAATCCCTGGTTGGGGAACAAAGATTCTGCATGCTTCATGGCACAACCAAAAAACAATAAATTTATCTTTTAGATACACAACAATCCCGAGGGCTCTGGGGAGGCAGATTTTAGATGGGAATCGATATTCATCGGAAGGTGTCAGGGAGTGTAGATTTCCCTTTGTGGGTGTAGCTTTGTGGGGTGGAGTGCTCAGACACCAGCCAAAATTCCCCATCTTTCTGGTCGAAGGAGCCAGAGAGCAGAGAGTAAGCGGAGAACGCTGAAAAGGAGACAGCAGAGGGAAGGACCCCAGATTCTGTGTATGAACCCCACCCAGCCCCTCACTGACCCCTGAACCACTGTGTGTGTGAGGCAGACAGCTGAAATGACCCACTGGCCAAAACTGACCTCTACCCACCTTCCAAGTGGCAGAGGTCACAGTTCAAGCCTGACCAAGTTCATTCTCTGCCAAAACAGAGGCAGCAACAGTCTTTGTAGAAATATAGCAGAATGCAGTGTCTACACAACAAAAACAGTCACAACAGTCAGGATAAAATCAAAAGCTGCTGGCACAGGAGAGCTGGGAGACTGCGACCCGTCCTTCAGGGAGAAGAATCTGCTGGGGCTGCGGTAAGACAGTGTTAGGATTATCAGACAATGAGGTCATGGAAAAAATGGGTTCTCATGCATGTGGAGGTAGGAAAAAATGAAAATAGTCCTTAAAGAACCAAGTAGGAAATTTTAGAAATGAAAAATACAGAATCTGGAATTTAAAAATTCACTAGAGGGACTTAACAGGGTTAATTGCTTCCACTGGAGGGTTAGGTGGGGCCCCCGCAACTGCACAATTCCATGAATTTGGAGATGTGAGGAGGTTCCTCTGTGCCTACTTGCAAGAACTGCAGTTTGAACCCAAAAGACTGAACAGCTGACCCAACAGCTGCAGCGCAGGTGGGAACTGACAGTTCACGTCCTACGTTAACTTTGATGTCACAGGAGGTGTGTGAGACTCATTACTTTTCTTGTTAACATGATGGCCATGCAGGACATGCTTTGCACGTAAGTTTTATTTTCCCTCCTAATTTTAGGTTGCCTTCGTTACGAGACACAATCAGGCCCAAAGCGAAAGCTAAATTCCAAAGCCATTCAGTGATAGATGATTCAGGTTAAAGGAATCACGCTGAATTGTACGCTTCAAATGGGTGGGTTAGATGGTGTGAGAATTCTTCCTCAGGAAAGCTATTTTTAAAAGACAGGCCAAGGGACTTACCTGGTGGTCCAGTGGCTAAGACTTTTCTTTGCCGATGCGGGGCGGGGGGAGGGCTCGGTTCCATCCCTGGCCAGGGAACTAGGGCCGCACGCGGCAACAAACACCTGGGGCAGGCAAACAAGTGAGGACAGGCCAAGGGGCTGGACCAGCTTCCCTGGGGCCCAGTGGCAAAGAGTCTGCCTGCCAGTGCAGAGACGCGGCTCTGATCCCTGGGTGGGGAAGGTCCCCTGGAGGTGGAAATGGCAACCCACTCCAATATTCTTGCCTGGGAAGGCCCATGGACGCAGAAGCCTGGAGGGCTACAGTTCATGCCGTCACAAAGAGGCGGACACAGCTGAGCGACTGAACAACAGTCAACAGACAGTTGACAAAAGAAGACTCAGGAATGGCCAACGGGCTTGTGAAAAGATACCTGACTGACTGGGGAGGTGCAGGTCATACCCCCACACACAAGACACACACCTGCCTGCCGGAACCAGGACCCATGAAGAGACCCACAAGGACAAGTGTGTCGCGGGCGTGGGGCAGTGGGACTCACACACGCTGGTGGGAGCACAGGGTGGTGCTGGCATTTCTGCCGGGTGTTTTTTGTTTGCTTGGCCGTGCGGTACAGCTTGTGGGGTTTCCCGACCAGGGACTGGACCTGGGTGCCCAGCAGTGGAAGCGCAGAGTCCTGACCCCTGGACCACCGGGGAATTCCCTCAACTAAGTTGTCTATGTAAGTCATCTCCCGCCGTGAGCAGTGGGACGGAAAATCAGTGTACTGGCCGTCACCGGGAACGGGAAGGTGAGCTGACGGCCCTGCACACTGCTCTGGTCTGTGTGTTCAGAGCCGTCGCCCCACTGGATAGTGGTCCGGGCTGTCCTGATCCATCCTCACAGGCAGGTGACAACAGGCCCCCCGAGGGCTGTGCCCTAGGGTGTGGCCGCCACCTCCCAAGGGAGACGGCGGGGAGGCGGCGCACTCAGGTCTCTCCTCCTCTCCGCGGGGCGACTTCAGGAATGCACTCAGCGTGTTCACCGCCACCCCGGGGCACCACAGTGGGCCAGGACCTTTCACTGGGAACTGGGTCCTCCTCACCAGGGCGCCGCTCCACACTGGCCGCCCCAGCTGCAGCCAGGACCACCTCGCGGCCCACAAACCCGGGATCCAGCCACTGTTGCCGTTTTCCACCCGCTTTCCACTTCTTAGTTTCTTAAGAAGTTAGATATGCTCCTAACTACAGAACGTAACCATTCCACACCTAAGTAATCACTCTGGAGAAATAAGCCCAGATGTGCACACAAAGCCTCGTACGTGATTATTCGTAGCAACTCTGTTTACAGTAGCCCCAGTCAGGGGTTGGGGGAGGGACAAATTTCCATCAATAGACCAACAGGGAAATGAAATACGGTATTATTCCTATGATAAGATACTAGTCAGAAATAACAAGGAACAAACCTCTGGTACATGAAGAAACAGGATGAATTTCAGCATCATTATGCTAAGTATATACCACATGGTTCCATTTCTATAAAAATGTTAAATTGCAAACTAATCTATCATGACAAAAGCACAGCGGTCATTGCCAGGGGCCAGGCAGCTTCACTAAAATGCAGGACTCCTGTTCACAGGAGTGGCGGCAAGGGATCTTCTGGGGCTGATGGGAATATTGTCTTGACTGGAATGCAGTTTCACAGGTGTGTGTAACCACCAAACTTGTTTGGACTGAGCCCTTTTAATGGAGGCCTTTATTGTGCATAAGTTATACCACAATATGATTGATTTAAAAGTCAGTAGCATAATATTTTAAATGGATAACCAACAAGGACCTATTGTGCAGCACAGGGAACTCTGCTCAGAGCTATGTGGCAGCCTGGATGGGAGGGGGGTTGGGGGGAGAACATGTGTACAGATGGCTGAATGCCTTTTCTGTTCATCTGAAACTATCATAACATTGTTAATCTGCTATACCCCAGTACAAAATAGAAAGGTCAAAAAAAAGAAAAAGAAAAGAGGCAAATCAGGAAAAAAAATCAAGAGTATAACAGCTGCTGACAAGGATGGGGAGAAACTGTCACATCGGGCGTTGCAGGTGGGGATGTCAAGAGGAGCCGAAGCCGCAGAGGACAGTCTGGCAGGTTGTCAGGACTTGAGCGGGGGGCCACCGCGTGACCCCGCAACTGAGATACACCACAGGGCAGTTCCTCAACCTTTGTGGCCCCAGGGGCCAGTTTCCTGGAAGAGACTTTTTCCACGGACGGGGGACACAAAGTCTCTGGAAATCAACCTCAGCAGGTACATGGGACACCTACCTTTACATGGAAGAACCCAACCTGATAAAGGGCACCTGACATCAGTCTATAAATTCAATTCAACCCTAGTAAAAATTCTAGGAGGACCTTTTCTTCAGGAACTCAACAAACTCATTCAAAAAAATAAAGAGAATAAATATGCATGGTGATAATAAAAAGAACAGGCAAGCTCCCAGATATTAAGACAAGGTCAGCGTGATTAAGATAGGAACAAAGGCTCAGACTAGAGACTTCAGGCAAAACACACCTGTGGCGGGACTTCATGCCCGGAAGGCGGTTCCACAAAGCAGTGGAGGCGCAGGTCCGGGGGACCCGTGGTTTGGGCAACAGGACACCCTGGATGGAGAGAAGGGAAGCAAGACCCCTAGTTTACATCATGTGCAAGCTGGATACTAAACAGGGTCAAGACCTGTGTGTGGTGGAGGGAACTATATGGACAGAAAAAAGGCAGTGATTGAGGGAGGCGCCCAGACCCCACAGCAGGATCTACACTGCGCAGGGTGGGCAACGTGACTTCATCAGCGTCAAGGACCCCTCTCTACTCAGGAGACGAGCCAGCAGCTAACGGCAGCTGTCAGACGGAAAGAAGACATGTCCAACACCCAAAGCGCCTCGGCTCAGGAAGCAGACCATGCGTGGGACCGCACACCAACAAGGGAAGCTGGAGACCAACAGAAACAGGGGCCAGGACACAAGCATGAATTCCCACAGGGAGCCGAGCGGCTGGTGGCTTGCGAAGCCGGAGCCGACCTTTGAAAGAACTGCAAAGAAAGTCGAATTCAAACAGGAGGTTTACAGAATTAGAAAGGTGGACAATAACAAGTGCTGAGACCGAACCAGCGATAGGTATGTTTTTTGTAATAAGCAAAAGTAAGTGACGCTCATTGAAGAGATGCAAAGGAATGTGGAGAGGAGGCGCGGCTCTGCTCCTCGCGGGGCTTCCCTGGCTCGCAGCCGGCTTCGCGCTCAGCCGCCCTTGGGTGAGGCCCCCACGTGTCCTGCCAGCTGTTGCTCCCAGGCAGCCCTTGGCTCTTCCACTCTCTTTGGACAAACAAAGCAACTTTGAGGCTGTTTATTCTGCCCATTAATTTTTTTTCTTTTATTTTCACATGGCTATATCCATTCTCGTCAGGGCACCCCCAGCCACACCTGAGAATCTAGATAAACAGTCACTCCTGGCTTTGCTGGTTCCCCCCTGGCCCACTTACCTCTGACCCAATAATCCCCATGAGGCGCAGGGCAGCCAGCCAGCTCCCCCGGGAGGACCCACGTCCTCAGGGGGCAGGAGCCACGCCCCAAGCTCAGGAGGCTGGCTCCTGCTCTGGCTTCTCAGCTTGTCCCCCAGTGTGGCCAAAATAGGGAAGGGGACTGGAGTCTGCTGGCCTGGATCTGGGGGCTGACCTGTCAGTGGGCCTCTGCTCCTGGTCACCTCCTCCAGGAAGCCTCAGCCACCCTGCTGGCCTTCTTCCCAGGCGAGCTGGAGCCGTGAGTGGCTCTCCTGGGCTGGGGGTATGGGACAGCCACTCTCCCAGCTGCCCAGGGCTGCCCGGCCACCTCCCACTGGGCCTCTGCCACCACCTGGGCCCAGCGTCCCAGGGCAGTGCCGCCAGGACGTCTGCTCTGTGGTCAGGCTCACCTGTGGCTGCGGATGGCGCCGTCTGGTCTAGATCCTGGGGCCCTTCCTGCGATGACTTCAGCAGATAGAGGCACAGGCGGGCACGGGCGGCCTGGTGCTGCGGGTGGGGGTGGGGGGAAGCAGCAGGAGGCTGGGTGTGACCCCGTCCACATGCCCTGACCCCAGAGTGAGGAGCTGCTCCTGGGTCTCCAGTGCCAGCACCCCCAGCATCTGCCGAAACTCCCTGCCCTGCGAGGTGTCTGGGGGTGAGGGCAGGTGGGCAGGGCCACCTTAACTCTCTGACCCCCAACCCCACCACAGTCTGGGGTCCTGGGGTGGTCACTGGGGGCAGCAGATGGGAGCAGCCCTGGCTAGAGTCAGAGGTCAGGCTCGGATCCCGAAGGGCCTGTCCTAGGGCCAAGCTCGGCGCCCTTCTCCCCGCAGATATCTCAATCCCAGTGTGGGCAGAGAGGGGCCCTGCATACCTTCACATGCACACGCATCTGTACCCCAGAGTCTGTGCAAACTCCCAGCTGGGGATGGAAAGGAAACCACCTGTCTCCAGCTCAGCACCTGCTTGGAAGGAAACTGAGGCTGGGTTGTGGGGGGAGCGGGCAGGGTGAGGAACGGGAGAGGCAGGGGGAAGTCAACTTGAGCAGACAGGCAGGGGGCCCGGTGTCAGGGTGGGGTCAGGTGTCAGGGTGGGATAAGTCCAGGTTGAAGGGCAGTGCCCACCCCGGCCTGCGGCCTGGGCACACTTGTGCTGGCCCGGCTGGCCACAAGCCCCGGGGCCTAAGGCGCCATCATCACCCAGAAGCTGGACAAGGACCAGGCCTTGAACCAGCTCTTCCTGGAACTCTATGGGTGGGTCTCGGGACTGGCCCCTGGCCTTGGCACGGCGGGTGTCCTGGACACCCAGGGGTGGCACGCCCAGCCCCTCCCACTCTGCCCTCAGGCTGGGGCTCGTCCCACACCAGGCAGGCGGGGGGTGGAGGGGTGGAAGGATGGAAGTCAGGAGGGTCAGACCGGCAGGAGGGGTCAGGCTGGCAGCGGGGCACAGGGATGATGCCCCTGAGGCTCACCTGGTGCTCCTGGCCGCCAGCACACCAGAGGGGGACATGCTTGTGAACCTTGGTCCCGGGCAGTCTGGGTGGGCAACCCAGCTCGTCTCTGACCGTCATGTTCTTGGGGCCAGGCTGGTGGAGCAGCTATGGACCCCCCCCGCCCCCGCCCGGAGGAGGCCCCTCCCTCCTGCTGGGAGGGCCAAGGGGAGAGATGCAGGGGGGACAAGGGGGATGCCGGGGGGCTGGAGGCCCGACGACAGGGACGGAGGGGGCCACTGGTCCCATGACACTTGCAGGGGCTGCCTCTCCAGAAACCAAGCCCCCTAGACCTGCGGTTGAGCCTGCGGCTCTGCAGGCTGTGGGCACCTCAGGGAGTGCGGCCTGGGTGGAGACCCCCACCCTACCCAGCAGCCTCACAGCCCTACTGCCAGGAACACACTACCTTGGAGGCTCCAGGTGCCCCCCCCGATGACCTGTGGGCTGAATACAAAGTGTGGGTGCAGGGGCACGAAAGAGTGGGCCGGCCTCGACACTCTAACAAGGCGGCCAGGGCAACAGCACCACCAACCAGCTGCAAACCCGCCCTCAGTGCAGGCCGAGACAACGGTTTAGCGGAAGCCATGGAGGGTCTGACCCCCTCAGACCAGCTGTGTGACCAGCGCTCGCCCTCAGAGAGCACAGACCAGGTGCCTGGCCACCATCCTTACAGGCCCGCAGCCCTGATGCTCCACGACAGAGGTGGGCCCTGTGCCCAGCGCCCCGCAGCCGGTGGGGGGCTCCCCCCTCAGCCGCCCGCGCGTGGACGGTGTGCGGGCCCTCCCGAGGTCTGGAGTGTCACCGCCGCACAGCGAGGGCCCCTCTGGGACCGACTCTTTCTGCTGCTTCCTGCAGCCCCCCGGCCCCAGGCAGCAGCAGGGGGGACCCCAAAGGGCCGCCGGGCTCTCCTGGAGCCCTCTCCTCTCCAGCCCTGGCCCTGCCTACAGAGCGGGTCACACAGGCCCCTCATTAGGCGCTAATTGCCTTGGGCGCCGGGCCCCCCAGGGCCGTTGCTGGGATCACACCTGTTGACAAGCCGGGTCGGCCCCGGCGGGAAGGTGTGGGGCCTTGATGATGCCGCTAATGATGTACTCTTGGCCCACAGTGATTCCCTTCCACTAATAAAGCCCCACGCAGCCTGGGGCTGCAGTTCTCACCTCGCAGAGCCAGGGGGCTCGGGTGGGGATGCCTCAGGCCACGTTTCCTACGAAGGTCGACTCCTCTCTGGGGTTCTAGACTGAGAGGCACAGGGACCCGCCCCACGTGGGTCCCCCATACCCGGCGCTCAGAGCCTGGAGCCACTCAGAGGACAGCGGGAGGGTCTGCAGGGACCAGCCTGGAGACCGCGCCCCCACGCCCACCGAGTCAGGGCTGGGGGAGCAGCTGGGGCCAACAGAGACCAAGCTGACCTGCCCAGAGCCCCCAGGGGTGAAGCCCCTCACCTTGTAAGAGACCTACCGGGGCGCCGTACTAACAAACAGCACAGTCCCCAGTTTATGAAAAGGAAGAGGAGGGCTTGGAAGGCAAGAGCCCCGTGGCTGGGTACGAGGCTGGCCTGGCACCTGCGCGGTGGCCTGGCACCTGGGCGATTGCCTGGGGCAGATCCCTGGGACACCAGGCCCTGCAGCCACGTGGGCAAGGCCTGCAGCCCCGCGGTCTCCCCATTTCTCTCATCCGGTGGCTCCTGGCCCCCAAGCTTAATACAGAGCACCTTTCAGCAGGTGGCCCTGCCAAGTTGAGGCAGCAACAGGAAGCCCCTACCCTGGCCCGAGTCACCACCCCCCCCGAGTCCAACCCCCACGGGGGCATCCCACACAGAGACCTTGACTGTATGGGCTGCACCCTTGAGGCATATCCCTGCTCCTACACCACAGCCACATGGAAGCCCACTTCTGTCCATCTTCTTGGGGGGCGTTGACCCACAACACCATAACATAGAGAACATGTTTCAAAATCACATGTTTAGGAAAACTTTTAATTTATTTTGGGAAAGACATACTACCTTTTACTTGTCCCCACCAGGGTCATTTTATTTTCACTGCACACAGACTGCCTGGAGAAGACAGGTGCTGGCCCAGCCCGGGGCGGCAGTCCTCCACGGTGCCAGGGCCTGTGTCCCCTCTGCCTGCCTGTGTCCCCTGCATGTCTTCCAGCCCCTAGAGGAGGGGGCTACAGCCAGGAGAGCCACACCCCATCATGCAGCCCTCTGCTGAACCCCCTGATTCCCATGAAAACATGGACACGTGGCCTGTGGTGGACCGAATGCTGCTTTCCAGCAGAACCTGTGGACAGGGCCTTATTTAGAAAAAGAGCCTTTGCAGACATAATTAAGTCAAGGCTCTCGAGAGGAGCTCACCCTGGATTAGGGTCCTGAACCCAGGGATCTTTACAGGATCAGAGAAGCGGGGAGACACAGGAGCCATGTGATAACGGGGAGAGAGACTGGAGGGATGCAGCCCACGCCCAGGGAGGCCTGGAGCCCCAGAGGCTGGAGGAGGTGGGATGGGTCCCCCTGGAGCAGTTAGGGGGGCCCAGCCCTGCCAACACACTGATTTCAGACTTCGGGCCCCCAGACCACGAGAGAAAACTCTTCTGTTGTTTTCAGCCTCCCAGCTGTGGTTTTGTCCCCGCAGCTGCATGGTTCTGACTCTTCACAGGGTGAGACTGAATCCACGGGCAGGAGGGCTCAGTAGATCCACATGCCTTGGTAGAAACCCCACCTGCTCCTGTCCAACCACCAGACGCTCGATGGTCAGGTTTGGACAAAGCAGGTCCTGTGGGCGCGGCCAGAGCAGAGGACGAGCTCTGCACCCGCTCGGGTTCAGGGACAGGGGTGCCCACATGGCCAGAGCATCAGAGAAGGTGCTCAGACCTACCAGCCTGGCCTCAAGACCTCAGCCCCTCCCTGTGTCCTCATCTGGCCCGCGCGGTCCCCCACGTGTGTAAACACTGGCATTGCACATGGGAAGAGCAAGGTGAACACTTGATAATGATGATGAAATAATTTGCAAAACATGAGAGCACACACACCGGAGGCGAGGTGTATTGTTGGCACAAGAGCCTAGGGGCTCTAGGGACATGGCTGGGAGTTAATAAAAATACCCCGAGGGGCTGAAAAGTCCCCGCTCTTGCCTCTACTCAGAGCAGGCAGGAGGAAGACCCCGCTCATCGTATGTATGTGTGTGTCAGAGAGAGAGAGGTCAGAAACCCCTGTTCAGCCTTTTTAAACAGAAGCTGGCCCTGGCAGTCCCCCAGGCCCTCCTACAGGGGCAGACCTGCTTACTGCCTGGGCCTCTGGGGGCCTCTTGGGGCAGCCAGCTTGAGCGGCAGCCTCCAGCTTCATTTTTTAAAATAGTTTTCAAGACATATAAATATACATACCACGCAATTCACCCTTTCATAGTGTGTGATTCAATGGTTTTTAACATAATACATTATTAATTTTAAAGTTGTGTTGAAACACATGTAATAGGTCTTCCCTGGTAGCTTAGCAGTAAGGAATCCACTTGCCAGTGTGTGAGACGTGGGTTTGATCCCTGGGTTGGGAAGATTCCCTGGAGTAAAAAATGGCAACCCACTTCAGAAATCTTGCCTGGAAAATTCCATAGACAGAGGAGCCTGTCTGTGGGCTACAGTGGGGCTACAGGTGGGCTACAGTCTGTGGGGTCTCAAAGAATCAGATACGACTGAGCACGCACACAATAGTGAGACTGTCAAGATTTCAGGCACTGTACCCCAGACCTTTGTCAGATATTGCCAGGACATGGAGGGGATGCCGGGGCCTGGAAGTCCACCGTTCAGCTCCTTGGGAAAGCCCCTCTTGATGGTGAAAAGGAACTCCCATCCTGGCAGCCACGAGGAGCAGCTGCAGAGGCTGGAGGAGGTCACGCCAGCCTGTGGGCCTCAGGCCCCTGGACTCCACACTTAATCCACAGGCAGGTGAGGATTCAGCAGGTAGAGCCCATGTCAGGACAAGAACACCAAGAAGAGCTGAGGCCATGATGGGCCCCCAAAACGTGAGATCATGCCCAGGGGATAGTCTGGGGCTGACCCTGCCAGGGCACCTTCAGGGCTGGGCCCAAGTGGGGCCCGAGGATGCGCCAGACTCGACCACTGGAGTTTTCTGGAAAGCCCTCATAAGAAGTTGGTCATTAAATGTATATGACGGGGACGTTCCTGGTGGTCCAGTGGTTGAGAATCCCCCTTCCCATGCAGCGGACATAACTTCTATCCCTGGTAGGGGACTAACATCCCACATGCCACGGGGCAGCTAACCCCAAGCCGCAACTGCCGCCCCTGCGCTCCAGAGCCAGGGCTCTGCAAAAAGGGACGCCCCGAGCGCCGGAAAGGAGACCCAGTAGAGGCAAAATAAAAATAATAATAAAGACTTTTTAAAAAATGTATATGACCGCTCAAAAATTGAATCCAGCCAGCAGCTGATTCTCCGCGTTGCACAGAGAAATAGGCTTTTCTCAGGCTGGTCTCCGGAATAACCGGGGGCGGGCTTGCCAACTCAGGGGACGCTGGTTCGATCCCCGGGTCGAGAAGATCCCATGGAGGAGGAACTGGCAACTCACTCCAGTGTTCTTGCCTGGGAAACCCCATGGACAGAGCAGCCATGGGGTCGCAAAGGCGTCGGACACGACCACGTAATTGAGCACACACCCTCCCACAGCCGCGGGGCCCTGCACTGGCCGGCCGCCTGGGGGGAGCCGCTCCGCACCCCTGTTCCCATCCCCCTCTCACTCCAACCGGAGCTGGCCGCCTCTGCGAGCCCGGCGCCCTTCCAGGCTCTTGGGCGGGTCCAGAACCAAGAAGAGCGCCTCCGCGGCTTCTCCCCAGGGCGGAGACGCGGGCGGGGGAAAGCGAGCCCGGCGCCCGGAGGGAGGCACGGCCCCTTCCCGACTGCCCTCGACGGCGCGGGATGCGAGGGTCCGGCCCGCCAGCAGGGGTCACGCGCCCCCCGGGTGCCCTGCCGCGGGGCCAGTCGCGCATGCGCCACGCGGCGCTTTCCGGCAGTGTGGCGGAAGTGCCTCCCTTTTCGCGGCGTTTGGCGACGTCGTCCGCGCCGGGGCCGGCGGCAGTGTGGCGCCATGGCGTCGCCTTTCAGCGGGGCCCTGCAGCTGACGGACTTAGACGACTTCATCGCGCCGTCTCAGGTGGGCGGGCTGCGCGGCTGCTTCGCGCGAGGAGTCCTCTCCGCCGCGGTCTCCCCCGCCACCCCTAGAGAGGGGCTCGGGATCAAGGGGCCTGCCGCGTCGCACAGCCCGCGGTTTCCGAGTCCCCTTTCCGGGCGGCCACGACAACCAGAGTGACCCAGCTCGGGACCGGGAGGCCCGGCCGAGCTTCCCTGGGCGGCTCTTCACCCCGCCGCGAGAACAAGGGGGGCGTTCCACTGCAGTCAGCGCGGTGGTCGGCGTAGGTGTCGCCCCCGGGGGAGGAGGCAGAGCGCGCCCCCAGGGGGACAGGCCAGCCGCGCGTGAGGGCCGGCCGCCTCCTCAGCTGCCCCGCTTATGGGTTGCCGGCAGCCGCGCGGGACCAGGGCTCGGCCGAGGCGTGCCGCGGGGAGCGCGAGGGGCCGGCCGGGCGCCGAGGCGCGAAGGGCGGGACGGACCTCCTGCCGAGGCTTTCCGAGGCTGCTCGCTGGGAACGCGACGGCCAGCGAACTTCCTCTCGGATGGAGAGGAATTGGGAAGAAAGGAACCTTCTTCCAGGAACTGGGCGGAGCAGAGCTTTTCTGCCGATCCTCGGCCTCCAATGAAACACTGGCCCTCCGTGCGGTGCCCCACCCGCCGTTTACTGGCGGTGTCCGCGGACAAGTTAGGGTGGCCACACCGCCTGCACCTGCATCAGGTCAGCGACCTCGATGCGGGCGGTGTCTGAACGCGCGCGAGTAGGGTAAGCAGCCACAGCGCCAAGACCGCTTCTGCGGCGGGAAGGCCAGAATCAGGGCAGAGTTTTCGTCCCAGGCGGTGTTGTGGCCCCTCCGCCCCCGTGCGCTCAGGCTTCGGGTCTCTTACGGGTAGGACTGCATCAAGCCCATGAAGCTGGATAAGAGGTCGGGAAGCGGCGTGGCCAAGATCCACATCGAAGATGACGGGAGTTACTTCCAAGTCAGTCAGGTAAGTTCCAGCCCAGCTGACCTGTCCAGTGACAGGTGCAGTGACCATGGCACTTTCCACGTGTCACCAGCCCTTTCTCAGGTGTGCACTGCAGAGGGCTCTTTGCAGAGGTGGCAGTTCCGGCATCCCTCTGTCTCTTGAGTTCTAATTGTGTAAGATTTTCTAGTCCAGACCACTTGTTCATAGTGAAACCTACTCCTGTTAATTGAGCAATGCCAAGACTCTAGTCCCACGGCGTTAAAGTTGACACCCTGACTGTCTGCCATTTGGATTCTTGAGGACACCCATGCTGTCCCGAGGACTGCAGGCACCACCAGGCGTACCAGTCTAGAGATCCCTCCCAGCCAGCGAGGCGCCACAGGATGGCTCGTGGTGGGGCCAGACAGAGGGAGCCAGCGATGCCAGGGAAGAAGTCACTGTTTAATCAGCCCTGGAAGGTGATCTGGCAGCCCAGCTGGGGTTCCGCCCCAGCCCAGCAAGCACGGGAGGTGGGGTCCTTCATGGGGCCGGGGACCCTGCTCCAGGGCAGCAGGGGTTGACCTGGAGGGAAGGCTGAAGCACATCAGTCCCCATTGGCCTTGAGGCCGGCCCGGCAGGGAAAGTGCCCTGAGCTCAGATTGCGACTGCAGTGCAACGTGGGCCTTGTGAGTGGGCTTGGGGGGGGCGGGGTGGTCCCGGCTCGTCAGCCCTCCGTCACACTTTGGACTCCTGAAGCTTTCCCGGCCCTGGCTGAGGCCACTCCTGTGTGTGCAGAGGAAGTGAGGGCTCTGCTGGGACCATTTGAGGCTCAGAGCTGCCCAGCCGTCGGCCTGGAGCCCAGTGTGAATGCCCAGTTCTCGACTGTCTGGCTGAGTCTGATGTCATAACTGCCCCTTGCATGCCTTGCCCACTCTTCTCTGTGCAGGTGTTGAGGGGCACAGGCTTTTACCATCTCCTCCTCCCTGTTCTTCTGTCCTTTCTTCCTTCATCTTCGACATTACCTTTCTCTTCCTTCTCCTTTCAGAGCCTGGCCTTGAGCATTTTCCTGTCCCCAGAGCACTTTCCTGTCCCTGTAGGCAGTCTGGGGACCAGTGATGAGTCGGCTGCATCTTTGCACATTTAAGATTCATGTCCCACCTCTGGCGGGCAGCAAGGCTCTTTAATACAATATGCCAGCCAAGTCTGTACCAGAGTTAGAGTTTGGTGCCTTTAGGAAAGTTGAGAACATGTATATGTATTTCTGTACTAAATATTTAATTCCTAAAAACTTACGGCACATAAAGCCAGCCAACTACCACATTGCTTGTCAGTGCTGTGAGCCAGAGAGTGAAGCTCTCCCATGGTCCCATCATCCTGAGAGCACTGTGTCTTCGTGTGGAGGGGCCCTTGGGTGGTACCGGGTTCTCGTGCTTCCAGGATGGAGGGAAGAAGAAGCTGGAGAAGGCCAAGATCTCGCTGGACGACTGCCTGGCATGCAGTGGCTGCGTCACCTCAGCAGAGACTGTGCTCATCACTCAGCAGAGCCACGAGGAGCTGCGGAAGGTTCTAGGTGCCAATAAGGTGAGCGGTGGGCTGTCTTCAGATGCCACGCTCACCCAGTGTCCCTCACTGGTATCGTAGGGGCAGCTCATCTCTTGGTGGTACTTGTCCTGTGTCTCCTGGGGACTCCTGGCGTTGAAGTGTTAACCCTAAACTTCAAGTTCTGTGTGTTTGCAAAATTGACGCCCTGATGGGGTCAGGCTGTAAACCACACAGAGTGAGCCGTGGGTCCCGTGCTTTGCAGATGGCAGCACCTGATCAACAGAAGCTGGTTGTCATCTCAGTCTCGCCCCAGTCCAGAGCGTCACTGGCTGTGAGGTTTCAGCTGAATCCTACGGACACCGCCAGGAAATTAACAGCATTCTTTAAAAAAATAGGTAAGTGCTGAACCTTGGCGACCTCCTGTGTAGACACGGGGCTGAGGTGACACCCAGCTATCACTGGTCTTAGTGTATCAGAAGTTCTGTTGGAGGTTGACTTAGCTTGAAGTTCTGTTTGATGATTGAAAGCAGGGCCTTTTAATAAAAAAAAACCTTGAATTATGATGCTGCACATCCCCGAGCCTGGAGTTCACCCACTCTTTACTTTGTTTTTAAATTATCACCACCAGGGCACGGTTGTCAGGCCTGAGTTGGGCCCCTGGTCGGCCCCTGCACATTGGGGGCAGGGCTGGGAGGGCGTGGGGGCCCAGTGCAGGCGGCTGTGCTGGCGTGTGCAGGGTGCGGCCTGGTGCCTGCAGGCCCAAGCTCAGAGGCAGGGCGCCGGGCGTCCACCACCGGTGCATCCTGTGATGCCCGCCCACCCCGGGCACAGCTGTCCTTCCAGGGCTGAGGTGGGCGCTCCCTCACAGGCGCACACTACGTGTTTGACACCGCCTTCTCGAGGAACTTCAGCCTCCTCGAGTGCCAGCGGGAGTTCGTGCGGCGGTTCCGAGGACAGGCCGACCCCAACCAGGCCCTGCCCGTGCTGACTTCCGCCTGCCCAGGTGTGTGCCCGCGGCCAGTAGCTGGACGTGGTGAGGGGGGTGGGGGCTTTTCGGCAGGAGCCGCCTGAGGGTCACCTGGAGCCGCTTCAGTTCCTGAGGGGTGATCACGGGGATGCTAGAGACACGTGTTGGCAAGAGCAGAGCAGGGGGCTCCTTCGTGGGACCCTAACCCCTTGCATGAGTCTGGCCACGCCCAGAAGTCACCTCACTGCCCCGTTCTCGCCCTGCGTTGGCCTCAGGCTGGATCTGCTATGCCGAGAAGACCCACGGGAGCACCCTCCTCCCCCACATCAGCACGGCACGGTCCCCGCAGCAGGTCATGGGCTCCCTGGTCAAGGACTTCTTCGCCCAGCAGCAGGTAACGGGGACCCAGGGTGAGCCCCCCTGCAGCGCCCCCCACACTGTCCCCTATCAGCCCTGCGCTGCTGCCTCACTGCCACGCCCTGCACACAGCGTCTGACCCCTGACAAGGTCTACCATGCAACAGTAATGCCCTGCTACGACAAAAAGCTGGAAGCCTCCAGACCCGACTTCTTCAGCCAGGAGCACCAGACACGCGACGTGGACTGTGTCATCACCACAGGTGCAGGGCCCCGGGCTGGCCGGCGCTGTGACTGGGAGCCATGCATCTTTAATGGTCTCTGTTGCTCTTGAGACTCAAATGAAGCACGTCTGTGCTGTGGTCTCCTGCAGGTGAAGTCTTCAAGCTGCTGGAAGAAGAAGGGGTCTCGCTGTCAGAGCTGGAGCCGGCTCCTCTGGACAGTCTGTACGTCACCACCAGCCATGTCGGAGGGGCTGTAAGCTCACCCGTACCGGGTGCTCTCCACCAGGGGGTCCCCAGGGTCTGGGCGGGCGGCAGGAGGAGCCGTGGCCCTCCGACACAGGCACTGGCCTCCTCCCTCTTCTCTGGCCTGGCCTCCCTCGGCCCCTCGTGCATCTCGGTGTCCAAGATGCTTGAGCTCCCAAGGCAGCCTGTGGATAACTGGTTGATGGTCATCAGAGCTGACCCTGACTTCACACAGGTCTGAGCTCCTGGGACAGGTGGTACAACGGAGGGGACAGTCCTTTGCTGCACAAGCCTCCTCCTGACACACCTTCGAAGCCTTGGGCTCTGTGACTCATCTTCCGCTTAGAAAGCAAACGCTCTCAAACCTGAGAGACAGAGCTTGCTCAGAGGCCTCGGTGGGCAGTGGCCCCACCACCACCTGAGGCCCAGCCTCTTCCCCAGGTGCAGCAGTGCCTCTGCCCAGGAGCCCACCAGCCACCGGGGCGGGGGCTCAGGGGGCTACCTGGAGCACGTGTTCCGGCATGCAGCCCAGGAGCTCTTCGGGATCCATGTCACTGAGGTCACCTACAGACCCCTGAGGTCAGTGGGGAGGGCCGGAGCAGGGCCCTGCGCTCTGGCTCAGGTGACAGGGCCAGCACTCCCAAGCCCTGGTTCACCTCGTGGTAGAGCTCAGCGTCCCCTACCCACAGCACCGGGGCGGGACGGAGCTCCTGGCACAGTGTGTCCTGATGTGAGCCCCCACTCCAGGGAGGGTGGGCTGGGGCTCATCTGACCTTGGGAAGGTGGGGCTCCCATTCTACAGACCAGGAACCTGAGGCTGAGGCCACCTGCCCCACTGGTGGGAAGGAGCTTCTTCCCTCCCCCGTCTCCGGCCCCACCGGGAGTGAGTCTGGCATGCTGTGTGAACAGCCAGGTCTGTGCCCTCAGGAACAAGGACCTCCAGGAGGTGATTCTGGAGAGGGACGGCCAAGTCCTGTTGCACTTCGCTGCAGCCTATGGCTTCCGCAACATCCAGAACCTGGTGCAGAAGCTCAAGCGCGGGCGCTGCCCATACCACTTTGTGGAGGTCATGGCCTGCCCGGCAGGTAGCTGTGGGCAGGGGGCCCCTGGGACCATGCGTGCTGGCTGGCACCCTCCATGACCACGCTTGCCCCGCTCTGCCACAGGGTGCCTCAATGGGGGCGGACAGCTCAAGGCCCCTGACATGCCCGGCAAGGAGCTCCTGCAGCAGGTCGAGAGGCTGTATGGCCTGGTCAGGACCGAGGCACCGGAAGACGCGCCCGGGGTCCAGGAGCTGTACGAGCGCTGGCTGCAGGGCTCAGGCTCAGAGCGGGCCGGCCGCCTGCTGCACACCAGCTACCATGCGGTGGAGAAGGCTGGCTCTGGACTCAGTATCAGATGGTAGAGGCTTCACGGGTCCAGCTGGTCCACTGCTGCCAACACCAGGACTCCTGGGAAGGTAGAGGCTCTCCAGCAGGGCAGTTGCCCGAGACCCCAAGGGGCACCCCAAAATGCTGCAGGGACACTAGGACCCTCACAGCAGTGGGACTCGGAATCACTCTCACCTGGACTCCTCTTGCAGGGCCGGAGGCTCTACCAGCCACTGGCCCTCTCCATGGTCCTGAGCCCTGAGAAGCCTGGGCTCCCCCTGGGTGTGGGGGGGGGGTCTCAGCCTGTCCCGTGGGAGGGCTCCTCACCCTCCATCTCTAGAGTCCCCCAAAACTGCTATGGGCGGTGGTGACAGACTGGACCTGCCCGGCTGGTGAGGTCACAGCAGAGCCTGGGGGGCCTGCCGCGCTGGGCAGCCGCGGACACTGGACACAGGCAGCTGGCCCGTGACCCCCCTGGGGTGGGCTGCCCCTCCACCGAGACCAGGTGTCTGCCAGAGCCGCGTCCCAGAGAAGCTCACCTCTAGTAAAAACAGCTTTTTTTCAAGAGTGTCTGTCTGCATCGAGAAAAAGGCCTTTCAAAGCTTTATTTGAAGTTCAGGAGCCCTGTGCACCCCACTGCACTCTGTGCAAACGCCCCTGTCTCACTATGGTCCAGAGTGGTGTGGGGTGTCCACCCTCTGGGGCCGGGCAGGACTGAGGACGGCCAGGCCCTCCTGTGGGTCGAGGGAGGAGGGCTGTGTGGCCTGGCCCACGTGGAGCTCACTTCTGCCGGGGTGTGCTCAGGAGCCCCCACTGCAGCGCGAGGAGGGCCCGGGCCTGTGGCTGCAGCGGCTCAGCCGCCCTCTCAAAGCTCGCTCGCTCCCTGCAGAGCACATCCAAGACGTCGGCTGGTGCCACCTTCCCCGTGAACTCCCGCACAGGCTCCTCTCTGTGGGCAGAGGGGGCACTGTGGGGCTCAAGGGGACCCACGGGGCAAACCAGACATGGTGGTGGAGACAACCTGGTGGCCGGCCCCGTGCCAGCCTGCTGGGCGGTGAGGCCCCTGGGGAGGATGCAGGTCCCCAACATGCGCGGGCTCAGGCCCTGCCCCATGCTTCCCAGCCCCCTCACCCACACGGGAGGGCCCAGCATGCTGGCTGGTACTCACGCCACCCTCAGGAACGGGTTGTAAAGGAGTTCCTCGCCCAGGGTTGCAGGCACTGTGGGCACATCGTCCTCATCCCTCTGCTGGAACGAGCACAGGCCCCGATCACCACCTTGTCTGGCAGCCCCAGGCAGGTTGGCCCTGTCACCCGCAGCCTGGGGGCTTGAGCCCAGGCCCTGAAGGTGGGCACTCGAGGGACAGACTGCAGGTGACCCAGAGCCTAGGGTGGGTGAACGCCCCAGCCAAGCCAGGCCTGGTCACGCAGGCCAGAAGTCATGGCTGACACCCCACCCACACACACACACACTCAGTGCTGTCCCGGGCCCAGCCGCCCCACCATCCAACCTTGCCACTGAGAGTGGAGGAGCGGCCACACCTTGGCCCATGACAGCTTGGCCTTCACGTGGTCGTTGTAAGGCTCCACTTTCTGTGCAAACTCGAGGTTGCCCAGTGTGTGCTCGTGACCACAGAACACCTTCTGGAGAGACGAGGTGCTTAGGTGCATAGCACTGCTATGGGCAGAGATGTTTCCCACCCCCTCACCGGTCCACTTCTTGCCACCGTTGGCAAGAAGGCAATCATCCTGAACCCTGGCATAGACAGGTTCAGTGCATGCTGCTTATATGGGAAGCCGGGCCCCCACAGCCATGAGAGGGCAAGGGGCAGGCTGCTCACTGTCTCAGGGGGCAGGGTGCCCAGGGTCTCCACCAAGCTCTGGTACATCTGCTGAGCTGTGCCCTCCAGGCGTGAGCCGCAGCCGGCCATGGACAGTGCATCCCCTGGGGAGTTGGGTGGGTCAGAGAGTGGAATGGGACATGGGGAGGTGGGGGAGGTGGGGCAGGTGGGTACAGGGCAGCCAGTACCTGAGAACACAGCAGGAGGGTCCGGACACTCCTCTTCCCACAGGAAGTAGCTCATGTGGCCCAAGGTGTGGCCGGGCGTCAGGAGGCAGCGCACGTGGATGGCCCCAAACTGTGGCAGAGGGGCAGGTGAGGTGGTTGGGCCCAGGCTCTCTCCCCGCCCCTCCCGGACGTGCGCTCACCCGCAGCTCCTCGCCGTGTGCCAGCCTGCGCGTCAGTGCACAGATGCGCTCGTCCGCACCCAACACCACCAGACCAGGCAGCAGCCTCACCAGTTCCGCGTTGCCGCGAGCGTGGTCCCTGAGGATGGGTGAGAGTGGAATCACGTGGGGTTGGGGCTGGGTTGGAGTGAACCCGCCTGCCTCAGCCCTGCCCCTACGGCACTCACCAGTGGTGATGGGTTGTCAGCACAGTGGTCAGTGATACCCCCTCCCGGCCCACGATCTCCAGCAGCTGAAAGGGATGGGAGTTAGGGACATGCAGAGGGCCCAGGTGGCTGCCTGCATTGGGGCCCCAGGCACGGGACGGTGCTAGGGGCAGGGGAGACCTCACAGACAGTTAGTGAGCACCCACTGCGTACAAAGCAGGCACCAGGTGAAAAAGTTCAGAGACGGCTCTAACTGCAGAGGAGACCCAAACCAAGAAACCCTAAACTCCAAATAACCAGAGACCAGAAAACAGGGGGAGGGTCTGCCCCCAGCAGTGTTGTCCAGAGCCTCTCCCTGCGGCCCAAGGTGCCTGGGCCCACAGCAGTGCTCCCGCTGCCTCAAGCCTGCCCTCACCCGTTTGGGCACGGCCACGTCCACGGCCACAGCTTCCCGCGTGCGCTCCTCGATGACCAGGTACATGTAGTTGTCCTCAAGCACAGGGATGACTTTGACCTTCATGGCCGCAGAGCTCGGGCGCACCGTGCCCCCTGAGCCCCTTCCTCAGCGTGGGGCTGCCCTCTCCAGACCCTAGGCAGGACTGTTCGCAGGAGGGGTCAGTTCCACACACGCGCGCTGGGGGCCAGAAAGGAGCCCCGCTGGCTGCTCCCGGACTGTCCCGAGGGAGGCCGGTCTGGAAGGCCAAGCTCCAGACTCCAGATGACCTGCAGCTGCGAGGACCAGTCCCTCGCCGAGACACCTCCCGCCGCAGGCTCCGCCCCCACGCCATAGGCCCCGCCCACACAGCCACACCCCTTCCGGCCCCGCCTGCTTCCAAGGCCCCGCCCCCAGCGCCCTCCTGGCGCAGCGCGACCCCGGGCCCGCCCCTCTCCGGACCCTGCCCTTCTCCGGGCCCCGCCTTCAGCGCCACTCCGCAGGCCCCCGCCTCAGACCCCCTCCCGACCCGGCCGCCCCCTTCCCGGAGGTCCGCTCACCCCCGCGGGATGCGCCAGCCGGTCGCGCGGACTCCCTGAAGGACAGCCGGACAAAGGCGGGCCTCGGGCGCCAATCCCGGGGACTGGACGGAGCGCGCCACTCACGCCGCCGCCGCCAACGGCCCGGGCCTGAGGCGCCCGCCCGCGGGGCCGGCCTGGAGCCTGCGCGCCGCGGGACCCGAGCCCGGCGCAGGGAGCACGCGTGCGCGGCCGGAGCGCGCGCGCTCGTCCGGCCAGTCGCGGCCGGAGCTCTGGTGCCTCCTCCGCGAAGCCCTCCTGGCACCGCGCTGAGCCAGTCTTCCCGAGTCCCCCGGCCCCGGGTTGGGACGTCTTCGATCGGGCTGGGAGTGTAGGGAGGCTCCCGTTTGTTCGCCTGCTCGTCCCGGCGCTCAGCCTGGGGGCCTAATGAGTGTGGAACCCACATGATAAGGCAAAGCGCGCTGCCTGAGGATAACAGTAAGAGGGGCGGCTGCTTGGCTCCCTATGCGCTGTCCCACACCTCCCCAGCCGGGCCTTCTGCGCACTCCTGGTTCCATCCTCACCCCTGAGACATGCTGGGGTGACCGTCTGAGTTTCCCAGATGATGAAAAGGAAGCCGGAAAGGTGTCACCAACCACTGAACTGTCCTGCTTGCCCTCGTGGGCGGGGCACTGGGAGTCTCCTGGGAACGGCAGAGGCCTTGGCAACACAAGTCACAGTGCTGCAGCAACAGGCCAGTAGTCGAGGCGACACTGGGCTTGGGGCAGCCTGCAGTCCTTTCTGTGTATGGAGCATGTGGCAGCCCCAGGGCCCCCTCCTCGGGCCGCTGAGAATGTGAGTCCTCCCAGGACGCTGCTGCTTCTGGGGTGTCCCCTGCTCCCTCACAGGCCAGGAGGGGTGTAGGTACTCAGGACCTGGGCCTGATCCTGGCCGCGGGAGAGTCTGCCCCAGCTCTGCCAGGCTGGGTGTGCGAGGGTGGAGACCACAGCCCAGGCCTGAGACACACCTTGGGGTTGAGTGGTGGTGCCTCCCTAGGTTCTGCCACGGGCTGAGGCCTGGCTGCCAGGAGTCCCTGGGGGTGCCCCAGCCTGGGCCACCAACCTTGGGACAGAGCTTCCCTCAGACCTAGAGCTGAGTGAGGAGCAGCGGCTGCAGGTGGGTGTGGGGCTTCTGGGTGCTGGCAGGAGGGAGGGCATCCCCAGGGCCTCACAGACTCCACCTCTCACCCTGACCAACCCCAGGTCTGCAAGGAGCTGGTCGACCTGCAGATCAAAAACCAGCGCCTGCAGGAGCAGCACGATGCTGAAATCTTTGAGCTGAAGAGTGAGGTGGGCACTGATGTGTGCCCAGGTGTGGCAACCCGAGGGCGTGTGTGTGGGGGGGTGCAGGTGTGCCCCGAGTGACTATGCACACTCACACAGTTTCTGTACACACACACACCCCACCTGTCCTGTGTGTGCTACGTCCCTGTGGATGCCCAGATGGATGAAGACCTGGTCTCCCACAGGTCCTGTGGCTGGAGAGCCGCGTGCTGGAGCTGGAGCTGCAGGGAGCACGGGCGGCCCCAGCAGAGGCTGATCCAGGGCACCGCCCGGCCCTGGCACAGGAGCTCGGGCACAAGGCTGGGGGGCAGGGACACTCCTACCGTCGCAGACTCCAGGTCACCGGGAGTGCATGGTGGGAGGTGGGGGCGGGGGGCTGCCTGGGTGGAAGCTAAACGGGTCCAGCGAGGAACAGTGAGGCCTAGACAGCAGCTCTTCTGTGCAGGCACAGTCCACAGACTTCCTGACCGCCAAGAACAAGCAGCAGGAGCTGGGGGACGGCACAGGTGTTCAGTCACCCAGCCTGAAGGTCTGTCAGGGTTTCTCCCAGCCTGGGGTGGAGGTAGGGCAGAAGAGGGGACCTGGGGCTTGGGCTTTCATCCAGCCAGCCGTCCTGTGCCCCACAGCTGCCAGCAGAGGCAAAGCGGGCGCAGGAGCAGCACGGGACTCGGCAGAAGGCCCTGGAGATGCGTGTGTGAGTGACCGCCTCCCTCATCTGGGACTGGAGAGCCCAGTGAGCAAGGGGGCTGTTCTCAAGGGGAAGAGGGGCTCACCCTTCTTGGGCCCAGCTGAGCCTCACACCCTGTCCACAGGGCAGCCCTGGGCCGGCAGCTGCAGGGAGCCTGGGAGGAGGCCAGGACAGCTGGGCAGCGACTGGCTGCACAAGCCGTGGTGAGGCCCAGCCCTACCTGCTTTGCAATCTGGCTCCGCAAAGTCCAGCTTTGGGACACAGACTCAGGGCCTCCTCCACCCCCAGGTGTTGTCTGCCTGCCGGGGCCAGCTCCACCAGGCTGAGGCAGAGAATGCCCGGCTGCAGCTGCAACTTAAGAAGCTGAATGAGGCGTATGCCATTCGACTGCAGCACTGCGCCCGAACTGTGGCTGTGAGCATCGAGGGGTGGCCCTATACTGGGTGGGAGGCCTCTGGGTCCCGGAGAGCCTGAACCTGGCCTGACCACGACCAACCACCTCCGAGAGGCTCTTGACCTTGTTGGAGACTTCAGGCCTGCCCAGTACACTATCCTCAGACCAGCTCTAGAGAGGGAATTAAGGAGAGGTTGGATCCGACCAAGCGCCGCTCTTCCCGGTCCTGGCCCCGCCTCCTCCAGGGATACGCAGATGGCGCAGGCCCGAAGCCCACAGCCGCAGCCCTTCGGACATTCCTGGAGACCACTCTGGAGGACATTAGGGCAGCTCATCACAGCCGTGAGCAACAGCTGGCCCGGGCCGCCCGCTCCTACCGCAAGTGCCTGGCAGATCTGAGCCGGAGGCATGAAGAGCTGCTGACGGCTCCCAGGTGGGCCCCTCCCTGAGACGGGCACGTGGGGGCGGACACCCCCTCCGTGAGACCAGCACCCCGGGTTGGATGGCCCTGTGAGACCCGGTGCATGGCTTAGTGTGCAGCAGATGCTGGTGGACCCTGTCGGGGCCCCTGGGAACCCCAGGGCTGCCTTTGGTGTGGCCCCCTCAGATGTGGCGCTGCTGCCCATGCACACAGTCACCGAATTCAGCCACTGGACGGAGGACCAGGCCAGGCTGGAGAAGCAGCTCCAGAAGCTCAAGGCCCAGGTGACCCCTCCCTGCTGCCCCCTAACTCACCCCAGGACCCCTCCCAAGCTCAGCCAAGCCCAAACCCCCAGGCCCTGGAGCAGCCTGCCCTGTTTAGCAACCCCTACTCTTGTTCCCACAGAAGGCATCTGGTGAAGTCTCCCAGGGGGGCACATTAGAGCCACAGTGAGTACCTAGTGTGGGTGCTGGGGGGACCCATTTATCCTGGAAGCTAGCTACAGGGGCATTGTTCTGGTTGCTGCAGCAAACAAAGTGATCTAGCTGTGACTTCCAGTCTCGGCCTGCTCAGGAGACACTATCTCAGAAAACCAGGGGCCTGGAGTGAGGAGGGGTCCTGACAGGAGAGGGGCTAACCTTGAATGGGAGGGTCAGGGAGACACCTCATCTCAGCTGAGACTCAGGAGCCCCAACTGTAGACCACTGGGGGCGTGGACAGTAGAGGGCCCGAGCCAGGACAAGGCAAGAGCAGCTGCCCTGTTACTTTCACGGCCTTTGTGCCTTCATGTTCCCAACATGTCAGAAGCCTCCTTACTGACACTGCAGTCACAGTCCAAGCTGGCCTGGTGGCTCAGCTTTCCGAGTGGCCACTGCCCCCCCCCACCCCCATGCAGAGATGGCGCCAAGACTCAGGCAGGGCCATCCCAAACTTGCTCGCAGGAGGAACCTCAAGGACCGCAGGGCCCTGACTTGAGCAGGGTTGTTGATCAGAACTTGGGCCAATGCCAGCTCTCACGCCCACCTCTCTGCCTCCCCTCAAGGGGCCTGGAAGCTGCGTCCTGGGCCCAGATCCGCCAGAATCTACACGAGTTCGCCCGTGGCACCCAGGTAGTGGGCAGAACCTGGCCCGAGGCCCCTCCTCACCCCACGCCTGGCTCATGGCTTGTGTCCCCCACGCCAGGCAGAGCTGGAGCGGGAGCGGGCACAGCTGCTGGTCCGCGCCACGATGGCAGAGGAGCAGCTTTCTGAGCTACAGGAGTATGTGGACCAGCACCTGGGAAGGTGGGCCTGGGATCTGGGGACCTCAGTCCCAGGCACTGGCAGCAGGGCTTGTCCACAACCAGGCAGGTGACTAACCTGGTTTCTCTGAGCAGGTACAAGCAGGAGATCCTGAGGCTGAGGAAGCTGGTGGGTCGACCCCTGGAAAGTGGGAGCGATACCTTCAGACAAGCCCCAGCACCCAAGGACCTGCAACCACTAACTGGTCAACAGGCAAACCTGGAGCTGAACTCTTCATAGTCAGCCAGCATGGACCTCTCCCCACAGCACCCCCTGGAAGATGACTTCACCCAGGCCTCCAGACAACAAAACGCAAGGGTGGGGTCTTCCCTTGTGGTCCAGTGGCTAAGTCTCCACACTCTCAATGCAGGGCACCCTGGTTCAATGTCTGGTCAAGGAACTAGATCCCACATGCCACAACTAAGAGCTCTCAAAAGATCCCACGTGCTGGAATTAAGACATGGCATAAGCAAATAAATATTTAAAAAAAAGAATCAGGGTGGAGCAGAGAGTCTTTATTGCGTGCAGTCAGCCAGTCTGAGAACTGGGGGTTCCAAGTACAGAGGCAGAACCGGGCCCTGGCACAGCCTGCCCAGCTGGCCCACCTCTGTGGATGTCATAGGCCCAGACTCGGTCCAGGCCCTCACCTACCACAGCCACAGGCTGCCAGGTGGGGAGGGGGAAGCGCCCAGACACCACACGGGCTCCTGCAGGCAACTCTGCCTGCAGCTTGTCCTCCAGCAATCGGAGCTGTGGGAGACAGGGGAGGGTGGCATGGGCCGGGGGGACATGGCTCCCCCTAACACCTCCTCCAGGTCCAGTGCCTACACTAGGGATGGCCTGGGCGTCCCATGGAGTCAGCGAACCCCAGACCTACCACACTAGGAGCCAGGAACACAGACACATTGTGGCAGTCCCTCAGGCTCACCTGCAGAAAGAGGAAGTCACCCCAGCTGGGAAAGAAGTTTGGTGGGCATGGAGTCACCACAGCTTCCAAGGCCCAGCCCCAGCCCGCCAGGTGACAAGAGGCACTCGGCGCTGTCAGCAGAGCGGCCAAGCCAGAACTGGAAGCGTGGCGATCAGGCGTGTCCGAGGGGGTCCAGGGGTCCCTGGGTTACCTTCCAGAGGTCTTCACGGTGGAAGCGGACACTGCCAACACAGCCTGCCCTCCAGGCACGCAGCCGCGCCAGTCCCACCAGCCAGGGGTTCAGCTCGTAGCCCACAGCAGGGCGGAGGCCGCACCTGTGGGCAGCCAGCACCTGTGGGCCCAGAGAGTCAGGACCAAGAGACGCGGAGGCGCGCTCATAGAAAAGGTTACAGCAAAGATATCCCCAACACACAGTCCTTACAATCCTGCCGTCCCCAGAGCCCAGGTCCACAGTCTTCCCAGGACGGCCTCGCAGCAACGACAACACGTGCTCCACCTGCCTGGCACTCGCGCCGACATAGGGCACCTGGACGCGGAAAGCGGGGCTATGAGGGTGGGGCCCGCCTCCGAGGCCTCCTCTCTGACCGAGGGCAGTCGGCTCCCACTTGAAGCGAGCCCCACCCCACAGCCCCGCCAGGTCCGGCGCAGCAGCACTCTGCGCCTCACACCTGCGCTCAGCGCCCCGCCCCCAGCCCGGCCCACCCGGCCGGCGCGGGCCCGCCGCACCCCGGCCCCGCACCTGCAGGCGCAGTGGCACGCGGCGGAAGCCGGGCTGCAGCAGCAGCGCCCACACGCCGTAGACGGCCAGGCCCGAGCCCGCCGCCACTTGCAGCAGCTCCAACCGGCTCGGCCGCCGCTCCCGCAGCTCCGTCAGCGCTTCGGCCGGGTCGTCGTGCTCCATAGCTGCGGGGCACTGGCTTAGGGGCGTCCCGTCGCAGGGACCCTCCCCGGCTCAGGCCCGAGACCCTCACGCCCCAGCCCCGGGCTGCAGACCGCCCCTCCCCGCGGCCTCGGCCTGCACCGCGCAGCTCCTTCCTGCTCCGCGCCCGCCCGACCCGGGGCACCGACGCCGGAAGGGGCGGGGCGGTGGCCGCGCCGAGACGCCGGAAGCAGCAGGTCCGTGCGTCCCATTTCCCCCGGGTCCCGGGCCCATCCACCGGGTTCCGGGGCGACCCAGGGGGGTTCTGGCCGCACAGCACGCGGCGCGCAGTGCGCGTCCCTCCGCCGCGGACTGTTGCTGCAAACCCCGGGACCGCGCGTCCCAAAGCGGGGGCCGCCCGCGGGAGGCCGTGCCGGGCCCCGCGGACTGGCGGCGGAGGCCCGTGCGGCTTGGCTGGAGCCCAGCCTGGCGGTCCGCCCGCGGGGAAGGGCTCGCGCGGTTGAGGCGGCGGCCCGCACACCCCGATCGCCCGCCGAGCCCAGGAGCAGTCTCGGGGGCCCGGGTCCTCCCACGGCTGAAGGCAACGAGCCCGAGTGCGCGGGAAACACCGGGCTCTGCAGGGGCGGGGACGGGGGTGTTGGGGCTCCGCTGAGGTGGGGGTTGACAAGGAGAAATTCAGCAGAACCGAGAAGACAGATGTTGGCTGTCTCAGCATGACAGGAGGGTAGCCGAATAAGAGGGGCTGGACCCTCTGGCAACTGGCCCAGTCATGGGTGTGGAAGAGCCCCAGGAACAGGGAGGACCACCTCCCTTCTCCAGAAAGCATCACACACACAAAGAAAGATCGAGCTCCCGGAAGTGCCCTGGCAGAACTTGGGAACGGGAGAGGGAACTGGCAGGGGAGCCAGGACCCTCTCCTGACCCCACCCTGAGGCCAGAAGGCCTTTGAGTGGTAGAAACTTCTCTGCACACAGGCTCCTCCTCCATCCACGGCCCGTCAGGAGGCCCAGCGGGGACAAACGTTGCTTCAGGCAATGTGGACCTGCCGGATACCACTGTCCGCCCCCCACCCCCAAGTGCAGATTGCTTCACACTGGGACCCCGCTGCCACCAGCGTGGAAGACAGGTATCCTTGTGCCGTGCTCCTGAGACCTGAGTACTGGAGAGGAGGAGGGCTTCTCCCATCCCCAACCCAGAATCTCCTGCCTCCTTCCTGGCTCCCACTGCCCCTCCCCAGAAAGGGAGGACGTGCACTGGGCTTACACAGCATCCCATTCTTGGCTCTTTAGGTGCCTGGCACGGCACCTGACACCTAAAAGAAACTCAATAAAAGCCGGTCAAGTGAATGACCGCCTACCCAGACTCCCCCGTGAGCACATTGACAAATCCTTCACTTTCACACCTGCATCTGCCCCTCACTTTTGGGCACCGGACACCGGTGCACACCTCTGTGAGTACACGCGCCCAGCGGTGCCCCAAAGGCATCTGCTCCCATAGCCCCTGCCCACATGCTCACCCACACCGTTTCCCTTTGGCCACTTCCTGGAGAGCAGGCATGAAGCTCCTGGCTCAAGCCTTCCTGGCTCCTCCCGGAGCACCTTGGGGCTCCTTTCGTCCTGTTGACCACACCCACTCCTGCTCTTTCTGCCCCTCCTGAGCTGCTTGCAAAGCCAACCCTTTCTCTGGAGGAGGATGTATGCATCAGAGGTGCTTCATCGGAGGCACTTCCCGGGGCAGGTGGGTAGAGGCCAGTATCCAGCCGAGGGCCCACCCCAAGGCAGCTGCCCTACAGTTTTGTGACAGATGGTCCCAGAGGCAATCCACAGTGACCACTGGGTGTGGCCGTAGGCCTCTCTCCAAAGAAGAGGAGAGCTGGCCAGAGCATCATGCCAAGAGCCAAGGGTAAGGCACCCCTCAGGTCCGGAGGGGAAGCCCTCCTCGGCCAGGGCCTCTGCAGACAGAGAGGAGGAGGGGGCAGGAGAGCACACCCCCACTCCTTCTCCTCTGGTCTTTACTGAGATACTACCTGTTGGAGGGGAGGGAAACAGGTATACAACGGTCTGGTCGAGGAGAGAGGTCCATGGGAGATCCAAATGTGGGGTCATCAGCATGTTGGTGGTATTTAAAGGCAGAAGGCTGGGCTCGCTCTGAATGTACTTGGGATGTACTCGAAGAGGAGATCTGGGGCCTGAGCCCTGAGCAATCTGGGGTTGCCAGTCTGAGTCTGGGGGAGCAAGAGGCTCCGCAAGGAGCCTTAAGAACAGCAGAGGTGGCAGGAACCCAGGGGTGCTTGCCCTCCAGGGTGACTGTACTCCCCCTCACAATTCTCAGCAGTCCCCTCAGCAGTCGGCCCATCCAAGTGAAGAAGTAGGTCCCCCCGACACTGTAGCCTTAGACAGTCTCCCCCACGGAAACTGCAAAGCGGCCACTGAAGTGACGTGCTGTCCACACAGGGTGTGGCCACACGAGGCACTGACACCAGCTGAGTCCAGCAGCAGGCACCCCGAGGAACCTTGCTCCCCTCCCAGCCTCAGTTCCTGCTGGCAGGATGGCAGGGTTGCTTCTCCAGTGAGGACTGCCAGGAAAGTTGTTTCTGGGGCTCAGCCCAGGAATTCCCCCCAGACACGAGCTATGGGACTGGGTCAGCAGAGCCAGCTCGTTCCAGCTTCCAAAGTCCCCCACGCACAGCCCCCCACTCCCCTCTCTTCTCCCCACCCCCTGCCCAGCACTGGGGCCTTTCAGCGTCAGGGCCTTCGGTGTGGTCCAGGGCAACGACAACTAGGCCACTGAGTAGAGGCAGGGGAAATGGTCTTTAAGAGACCCCATTGTGTGCCCCCACCCACCAGAAATGGGCAACAAATAGGACCCCTGCAGGAGAGACCCCACAGCTATGGGGGGGCACATCAGAAGGGCCTGGGGACAGAGGCCCATTCTTCCTCATGGGTGGGGGGGGCAGGGTGACTGCTGGGCTTGCGGCACACCACTTGGGGAAGTCAGCAGGTTGCCAAACCGCAGCCCCTTCCCTCAGGGTGGAAAGTGGGGCCGCCTGCCTGCCCACCTGAGACCTTGGGGGTATGGCCCCTTTTCACTCCCACTCTGAGTGGTAGAAGCACCTGGCATTGGGACAGCAGACCAAGGGTCACGTGAGAGAGGGTCCCTGCGTGCCCCCCCAGCAGCAGCCCCTCCCCCAGGCATGGGCTGCGTGGCGCGCAGCCCCCAAGGCTGTGGGAGGAGAGAACGAAGTGAGGCGGCCTGGGCTGGGGACCATATGCACACTGGCTCATCCATTCAGCGCTCTTATTGGTCATCACTGTTACCTCAAAAGCAGGTGATGCTGTGATGCTGTCCGCAGGCCACCCCCCACCCTCCCCAGCACCCTGCTCCCCAAGCCTGTCAGTCTAGCACCACCTCGCAGGGGTGCAGGTGGTCAGCATGAGCAGCTGCATAGGCACGGCTGAATTCCTGGAGGCGGGGAGCGCAACCCAGCCAGGCCTCACCAAAGCGGCTCCAGCCCATGAAGAGAAAGGTGCCAGGGCCGGGGTGCACGCCACAGTGCAGTGGGGTGCGAATGGAGGCCTGCCCCTGGCTCCCGGGGCCTCCCACCCGGAAAACCGGCAGTGTCTGGCGGAGGACGCGGGCAGCTGCCACGGTAATGACAGATTCCTGTAGCTCTGTGTCGTGGGCGACCCCGAGGATGGTTCCGTAGATCACTGTGGGGACATGCGTTGGCCAGTGGCCTCAGGGGAAGACAGGCCCCCGGCTCCTCCCCACCATCCACCCCACAGTGGGGCACTCACCAAAGTCACTGGTGCACACGGCCAGGAGGAACTCGGCATCACTGCAGGGTCTGCAGGCAGCTGACATGCAGGGCAGGTCAGGAGTGGAGCCTTGAGCCCTCCCCCAGCTGGACACAGGAGGGCGAGGGCAAGCTCCCAGACCCCCCCTCAGCGCCTGACGGCACCTGGGGTCTCAGGGAACTTCTGTGCACACTCTGAAGACACCCTGCACTTGTAACACTAAAGGCTCGTGCGTGTGTGATGCACACACAGACATCAGCTGGCACGCAAGCACAGGGCCCATGGGCCTGGAGCTGCAGAGCCAGGTGCCCAACCATCTCCCACGCAGCACCAGCAAGCAGTAACTCCCTGTCTCCCAGAGCTGCTTCGTGGGGCCCAAAGACACCAGTCCAGCCCGCGGGGCAGGAGGTTATGATGCGTTCTGGGGTCAGGGGATAGCAGAGACCGCCCCCATTCCCCGTGGGGTCAGGCTCCGACCTCCAGGAGAGCAAAGAGCTGGGTCTGCTGCCCTGCGGGGAGGCGGGGCTGCGTCTCCATGGTGACGGGCTCACAGTGGACTTCTGTTGTACTGGGCTGGGGGAGGGGAGGGAGGTCACCGCCGGGCCAGGGAGCCCTGGACAGCTTTGGCCGTCATCCCTTCCCCCAGCCCTTCAGGACCAGGGGCCCGGGTGCCCTGGCTGGCCTCACCTTCCAGGATTCTGCCCCCCGCCCCTCCCCACCTACCCTGCCTGTGACAGGCCACTCAGTTTCTCCCCCAGTGCAGTGCGGAGGACAGTCAGGTTTTCACCCAGACCCGCACTCACCATCCGCTCCAAGGCTGCGGGCCTGCGGGGCCAGCTCAGGACGCCCATCCTCCCGCAGCTCGAAGCTGAAGGAGGCCACGCGGCGGCTGAGGTCGGGATGCGGGGTGGCCTGCAGGAAAAGGGCCCGGCGCTCGCGGGGACCCCAGTGCGCGCATCGGGCCCCGGCCGGGCCCGGGCCCTCGGCCAGCAGCAACTCTAGCGCGCCGCCCGCCCGCTCCGCGAAGACTTGGGCGCCTGCGAAGGGCCGCGCCGGCCGCAGGCAGACGATGCCGGGCTGCGCGCCGGGCTCGGAGCCGCCCAGGGTGAGGCGCAGCGCCCCGGCCGGGTACAGCCACTCGATCTCGCCCTCCGCACAGGCCAGGGCGAGCTGTCCCACGCTGCCGGGCTCCTGGGTCAGGCCGCTGCGGACGGACAGGCGGCGCTGAGACGGGCGGCCGGCGTCCCCACCCGGCCAGCCCGTTCCCCCTGCACCCCGTCCCCGCAAGCACCAAGAGCCGCGTCCACTTGGTGGAGAAGGAAACTGAGGCCCGGGTCTCAGAGACTGGGAGGCAAAGGTGGCAAAGGAAAGGGTTCGGCGCCGGGACGGAGCGCCCGAAAGGGCGGGCGACACATCTCTCAGCCCCCGCCTAAGAGGCGCACACAGCTCCGAGGGGTTGGCCCGTGAGGGTTTCCTGTGGGGCTCGTACCTGCCCCTCCAGCTGCAGCGGTCCTCCGAGTAGCCGGCACGAGCGGCCGCGGCCAAGAAGCAGAAGCAAAGCGCGCAGAGCAGCGCAGGGAGCGGCATGGCGCGGGGGACGCGCGGGGGCGCGGCGGGAGCAGCCCCGTCCGCCCGCGCGGCAGGCCACGCACCGGGCCGGAGCCTGGGAGCGGCGCAGGCGGTGGGCGGGCCGGACGGCCAATCGCGCCGCGGGCCCCGAACTTTCCACCAATCGCAGCGGCGTTCTCGGGGTGGGCGGGTCGCCAGGGGCCCGGGAGGGGGCTCCGCGGACAGGGAGTTCTGCGTCACCTCTTCAAGGTCCCCCCACTCACCGCTCGCCTCCAGCCTCGACCTGCACGCTGTCCTGCTCGGGCCCCTGTCCTCCAGGCCCTCGGCGGCAGTGGTGCCCACTGGAACGTCTGGGTTAGGGGGGCTTCATCTGGAGGGCTCTCTCCAAGAGTGGCACCTGGGCCTGCCGCCCCCATCTCTCCCCAGCCTGGCCCTGGTGACTTCCCACATGCCAGGTGGGTAACCCCGGGATGCGGGCTCAGGCTCGGTGAAGAAGCAAGAGCAAGAACAGCCCTAGCCCCGGAGTCAGGCCCTGGTAGGTGGGGCCAAGCTGGAGCCGGGCCCGCGCTCTTAGAGGAAACTCGCCCCCAGGGTCACCGTGGAGGCCAGGGCAGGAGGAGAGCTGGGTGGTGGTCAGGTGGGGATTGCAGAGACAGCCAGGCAAAAGGGAGGACGGCAGACTACCTTGGCAAAGTGCCAGGGTCCAGCCTCAGCAGGATCGAGGGGATACCCTCAGGATGAACGGTGTCAGCGAGAGAGAGAGAGAGAAGACATGTGAGATCAGCCTTGATAGGGCCAAGTCTGCGAGGGAGAGAAAGAGAGAGAGTGACCAGATGCGGGGTGCAGAGTCTGGCAATGCTTTATTTTTTACCGTGGCTTTTATACCCTAAATTAGTACATTTCTAAGGGGAAGATAGTTTAACATTACATCAGCTTGTTCTTCACGAAACCAGGGTGTTTTCTGCATACTTCTTTGTTTATGAGGGTCTTGTACATTATCTTCTGGCCTTGGGGCCTATTAACATTTTATGCAAGTCAGGTGAATATAAACCTATTTTCTGTTTCTCTGGTGACCTTAACTGAAAGGTAGCAGTCTCATAGGGCAACAGTACAGAGTAAAAGTATAATCTTGTTAACACAAAAATTAATCCTTCTGCAGAAGTTGTCAGTTGCATTTATCTAAGAAGTTTACCCCACACTGACTCTGCGACTTTGGTGAGGCAGCTTCTACCTAACACTCCTGGCTGACAATTAACAACCATTTCATTGTTACCACACTAGGGCTAAGTTCTTATTTCTCTAGATCTTTAACTATATTAACAATGGTTTCTATAACACAACCTTAGCACATTAAAAGCAAAAACACAGCAAGCAAAACACAGCAAGCAAACGTCAACCCAATAACTACTTTTAGAATAATATTTTTTTTATGTTTTCTAATAGGACTCCTTCACCCCTCAAAAATGCTCTATGTCTATTAGGGCTTTTATATAATCAGGTTCTTTATGCTATTTTATGATTAGGATATTATAAGCAATCATGCATATTAGTACCAAGGGCATAAATGCATTTGGCTAACAAACTACCAGCAAAGGAGTTTAAATTAAAACACTCCTTTCACCCTGGATAATCTCATAAAATACCACCACCCGGGAAACTTACTGATTAATGTTCTAAATTGATTCTTATTTGGAAAGAGATCAGGGAAGGAAGGCCTTCTGCCTGTGTCACAGAAATTAGGGAGTAGTCTATTGAAGCAAGCATCAAAAGACAGATATCATCTTTAAGGTGAGCGCTGGGGGCAGCTTTTCGGAATCCTGAAAACCTGATCTGCCTTGCCCGTCAGGTTTTCACCCTCATGACCTTGTCATGGGTGGGATCTCGTGTGCCGGCTCCCGACAGCAAAGGCCTCACAGTGTGGACACAGCGGACAGGCCCCAAAGAGCCTGATGAAACATTGGGGTCAGACTACAGAGGCCTTAGGCCCAAACCCAGGACTGCAGCCTCAGTACTGGACCGCTTGGGGTCCCTGAGAGCTTTGGCCGACATAGACCCTCTGCTGTCTCTGGGTGTGAGGTCCCCGCGCCCCAGTCTCCTGCTGCCCTGGGCCAGAAGTCCACCCTGACAGATGAGGCGGACGACGCCAACCGGAAGGCAGCATTGGAGCTGCTGCCAGGCTGAGCAGACCACCGCCTCTTCCCTGACACCACAGCCCTTCCAGGCCAATGAAAAGCCAGAGACCCACAGGGCTCAAGTGTTCAGTTGCCCCTGGCCCTAGGCAAGGCGGGTGGGAAAGTGAAAGTGTTAGTCACTCAGTCATGTCCGACTCTTTGTGACCCCATGGACTGTAGCCCACCAGGCTCCTCTGTCCATGGGATTCTCCAGGCAAGAATACTACAGTGGGTTGCCACACTCTCCTCTAGGAAAGCTTCTCAACCCAGGGATGGAACCCAAGTCTCTTATGTCTCCTGAACTGGCAGGTGGTGGGTTCTTTACTACTAACTAGTACCACCTGGGAAGCCTCTCAGTGAAGTAAGCCAGTCACAAAATATCAGTCTACTCACATGAAGTACCTAAAACAGTCAAATTCATAGTGAAAAAGTAGAATGGAGGTTGCTTGGGGCAAGGTAGTGGGGGAATTGGTGTTTAATCGGGACAGAGTGTTCACCTGGGAGGAATGGAGTGTTCTGGGGGTGATGGTGACGGTGGTTTGACACACATACTCGACACCCCAGTACACTTGGAAATGGTGAAGATGCTAAGTTTTATATGTCATTACCCAACTACGAATTTAGAAAGGGGCACACAGGGCAAAGAAAGATTTTCATGACCCAGATAACCACGATGGTGTGATCACTCACCTAGAGCCAAACATCCTCGAATGTGAAGTCAAGTGGGCATTAGGAAGCATCACTATGAACGAAGCTAGTGGAGATAATGGAATTCCAGTTGAGCTATTTCAAATCCTAAAAGCTGATGCTGTGAAAGTGCTGCACTCAATATGCCAGCAAATTTGGAAAACTCCACAGTGGCCACAGGACTGGAAAAGGTCAGTTCTCATTCCAGTCCCAAAGAAGGGCAATGCCAAAGACTGTTCAAACTACCGCACAATTGCACTCATCTAACACTAGCAAGGTAATGCTCAAAATTCTCCAAGCCAGGCTTCAACAGTACTTGAACTGTGAACTTCCAGATGTTCAAGCTGGATTTAGAAAAAGCAGAGGAACTAGAGTTCAAATTGCCAATATTCACTGACTATGTCAAAGCCTTTGACTTTGGATCACAACAAACTGTGGAAAATTCTTAAAGAGATGGGAAAACCAGACCATCTTACCTGATTCTTACCTGAGAAATCTGTATGCAGGTCAAGAAACAACAGTTAGAACTGGACATGGAACAACAGACTGGTTCCAAATTGGGAAAGGAGCATGTCAAGGCTGTATATTGTCACCCTGCTTATTTAACTTATATGCAGAGTACATCATGTGAAATGCCAGGGTGGATGAAGCACAAGGTGGAATCAAGATTGCCGGGAGAAATATCAATAACCTCAGATACACAGATGACACCACCCTTATGGCAGAAAGTGAAGAAGAAATAAAGGGTCTCTTGGTGAAAGTGAAAGAGGAGAGTGAAAAAGTTGGCTTAACGCTCAACATTCAAAAAACTAAGATCATGGCATCCGGTCCCATCACTTCATGGCAAATAGATGGGGAAACAATGGAAACAGTGACAGACTTTATTTTCTTGGGCTCCAAAATCACTGTAGATGGTGACTGCAGCCATGAAATTAAAAGACGCTTGCTCCTTGGAAAAAAAGCTCCTTGGAGTTAAAAAGTGGAGACATTACTTTGCCATCAAAGGTCTGTCTAGTCAAGGCTATGGTTTTTCCAGTAGTCATGCATGGATGTGAGAGTTGGACTATAAAGAAAGGTGAGCACCGAAGAATTGATGCTTTTGAACTGTGGTGTTGAAGAAGACTCTTGAGAGTCCCTTGGACAGTAAGGAGATCCAACCAGTCCATCCTAAAGGAGATCAGTCTTGAATATTCATTGGAAGGGCTGATGCTGAAGCTGAAACTCCAATACTTTGGCCACTGACGCAAAGAACTGACTCACTGGAAAAGACCCTGATGTTGGGAAAGATTGAAGGTAGGAGGAGAAGGGAATGACAGAGCATGAGATGGTTGGATGGCATCACCAACTCAATGGACATGAGTTTGAGTAAACTCCGGGAGTTGGTGATGGACAGGGAAGCCTGGCATGCTGCAGTCCATGGGGTCACAGAGTCAGACACGACTGAGCAACTGAACTGAACTAAACACAGGGCATGGCAGTGAGCACATAGAAGGCAAAGGAGTCTCCAGTGGGAGGAAAGGAACGGGAATCCCAGTCAGTCGCCTTTGCTGAGACCTAGGTCCAGTTCTGGAGGGACCCCCAGGGCCCTGGACCGCCCTTGCCCCAGGCTGGCGAGGCTGACAGCGGGCTTAAGGCACCCCCAGTGTCAGTGTGGGGAGTTGCTTCAGATCCTCCTCCCGCCGGCCGGGGGCCCTGGCTCCTCACCCTCCCTGTCCACCCCCTCCAACCCCCTGAGAATAGGACAGTGTCCCTGGGTTCCTGGGAGGGGTTCCTATAAAGTGACCTGGTCTGGCAATGGCACAAACCTGGCCCTGAGGTGGCCCCCCCATAGCAAGCTTCCCCTTGCTCCTGCCCAGCTGATTCTCCAAGGGCTGGGTGGTGGCGCTGACTGTCACCTGTGGAAGAAGACCCCGCAGGCTGCCTCTGCTCACAGCTCCTGGCCCCGCAGCCTGCGAGGGGTGCTTCTCTGAAGCGCCCAGTGCGGTCAGCCATCAGAGGTCTGCTGCCCACATCAAGAAGCCCAGAGGGCTGTGGGCGCAGGAGAAGACGTGCTCGGTAAATACCCAGAGAGTGTGTGGACAGACGAATGACATCCCAAATCTCAGGTAACTCCCCCGACACTGTGTTCCATTTGGAGGCTCTTGCATGTGCCTCCAACTC